TTTTGCTAAACTTGGTTTCCCTTTGCTAATACAACATTAATATGTCTTGTGGGTTGGCATTTCTCCTTCTTAAAATAATGAATTTTAAAATACGGATCTGCAAAAAGTGTGATTCTCAGGTCTCATGTGTTTGTGCCACTCTATTTCTAAACTAATATACAAAGATAAATGTCTACCTATCAAAATGGTACACTGGCCATCCAGTCATTTTATTTGTGCTTGTTCAAAGGCTTTGAAGAAGGTTTTATGTAGGAGAATGTGCAGGTGAGTACAGTCTGGGATGGCTGAAGAACTAATTCAGACAGAAAAAAACAGAACAACTGCTGGTTCTGAGCAGAAAAAGTTTGTTGCCTTCAGATAGGTAATGGGAGCTATTTTAAGATATATATATATATTTTTAATGAATAACTTAAAGGCCAGAAAATAAATGAGAGGATAAATTGTTCATATGTTTTTCTACTTGAAAGGCTGACAGAAAAAAATTATTATTATTTTCTTTTTCCTCATTTACTGAGCCTCAATTTTCCCTTACTACTTTTTCATGTCTCTGGTATCTGAATAATCCATCATAACATGGATTATTTGTCTTGCTCACTCCAGGTAGATGGGTTTGGTTATTAAGTGGCAGTAATGACATGCCCATGTATGGAGATCAGCTCACACCCATAAGGCCTGGTTCTCTGTCTTCTATTACACCCAGTTTTGCCCCAAAGTGGGACATAAAGAAGTAATAGGATAATAATAAGGGACACAAGAGGAAGTATTAGATTTTGGAGTAAGAGGAATGCTGGGCTGTAATACAGAAAGTACATGAAACTGGGCTGTATATCTTGTTCACAGTGGGATTAACCAGGAACTGCTTGTAAAAGAAATAAAATTAACATACAGATGAACCAGCTCTATGTCAGAGCCAGCAACCAATAAAAAGAATTACCTTAATTAAAGGCAATAGCACAGGAGGGAAAGATACTTTAAAAAAAAAATAAATAAAAAATACCTAGTCAAGCATTAAGCTCACTCTGTGCAGTTTGTCTCCTTGACTTTAGGTCTCATCTCCAGTTCTGTGGAACATGGGGTTAATTACAGGTTCTAGCTCAGGTGTTAAATCACAGCCAAACCACACTGCTTGTAAGCAAAACAGGCTCTTCTTTGTTTTTGGGTGCTGGATGTTCTCCTAAGTCTACAGGAAAGGTTACATCTGGCAGAGCTTATACTGTTAAGTGATCACATCCTAGTGCCTTCCAGACAGCTCCAATAAACCAGAGGGAACACAGAATCATGGATCTTTTTCCTCTTTCTTTATAGTTTGTCAGTAGAGAAGTTTCTGGGGGGAATGTTTCCTTAGAGAGCAGGCTTAAATGGCTGTCACAGGCAAGTACTGTTCTTGCCCTTGGTGACATGTCCCAGCTGGCAAGGGGATGCCAGTCCCTGAGAGCTCTTAAATTGAACCCTAACAACTTTGGTTTATGGCCAAACCATTTTGCAGCCACCTCCTTCCACAGCTTTCCCACACTCAGGAAAGAGATGCTGAGGGCTGTCCACTTTATTTGACAGGATAATGCCCTGTCACTGTTGTGTCCTAGAAATGCCATACTCAGCAGACAGGCAGCTGTGCAGCATGAGCTGAAAAGGTCTCAAGATGGCCGGAGATGCCCTTCTAGACTGTATCTAATGGTGAAGACTAACAAGAAGCACCGATGCAAGATCTTCTCCAAATCTTTTCTTCTAGTTCTAACAGGCACCTGGGGAAGATGCAGCTGGATCACTGTGCTCCATATGAGCGACTGAACAGTCTCCGTTATCACTGCTCCAGAGATTTACCCTCTCACTGCTGGTAATTCAACAGTGGCCAATTTAGTCAGTTTTGTAGTGACCTCCTGCCTTCTGTTTGGTTGCTGTGGTCACTTCCATTCTTTGCTGTCCCTGTAATTCCTGCCATGTAGACGACTTTCAGTCTATAGATCATGCTTTTTCAGAGAATCTCAGATGAGGTGACTACCAACTGCAAGGACGGTACTGCCTACAGGTCACCTCCCATCTCTGGGAAACGCTGCAAGGAACACTAATTAGAAGCCAAACTGGGGAAAGGAAGAGGGCTCAAGATGTGCACTATAAGACAGAACAAGTGGGAATGCAGCTGTGTCAACATAACCCACAGAACTGGGGTCTTGCATCATCCTGAGGTAAGGGATTAAGCTCCACAAAAACTGCATACAAAAGCTCCTCCTTGGAAATTCAAGTGATGAGAAAGTAGACTCTGTTATTAACAAAACAGTTTTATTAAAAAGGCTTAAGGCTTACATCACAAAATGACTTATAAATAAACATAATCACAATATATATATCCTATTTTTAGAAAAAGTATTAATTATAAGACAATATATATTTTCTGAGTTATAAAATCCCATATAAATAGCAATTATTCTCAGTATGCAAAATATATGAATACATAAAATCCAGGGTGCTAATCTGAAAGGAATCCTCAGTATACACTCCACAATTGGCAGAAAATAGAACAATGACACAGTTGGACACAATAAATGCTGTTGTCCTAGTATATAATTTCTCCAAAACTGTAAAAATGGAATTGAGAACATTTTTGGTTGCTCAACCTTGTTCAGCTCCATAGAAATAAACTCAGGAATGGCTCTGGAGACTCCATCCTCTGAGATTTCAGGAGCACCCTGTAGATTCTTCTGGTATGAAAATAAAAAAAAAAGTGCATGACATGTGTCTGGTGATGGACAGAAATAAGGCACATCCTTAGAGGAAATCAGTGCAGGCTGCAAGAAGCAGCTTGGACTTAGAGCCAGAGAGCAGTAAAGGCCATCTCCTGACTGAAGATGTGTGGCAATAAATTCCGGTAGCTATAGGCAGAAGGTAGCCAGTTCCTAAACTCCTCAAGGTTCCCCTACTTACCCTCAAAACAATGATAGAAATTTAAAAAAGTGGAAACTTTGCATTTAGGTCATAGAATCATTTAGGCTGGAAAACACCTTTAAGATTGTTGGTTCCAACTGTAAACCTAGTGCTGCCAAGTCCACCACTAAATCATGTCTGTGTCATAATTTCAAATACCTCTAGGGATGGTGACTCAACCACCTCCCTGGGCAGCCTGTTCCAGTGCTTGACAACTGTTTTGGTGAATAAACATTTCCTAATATCCAATTTAAACCTCCCCTAAGCCAACTTGAGGCCATTTAATCTCTTATCACTTGTTATTTGGTAGAAAAAAAACAACTCCCACCTTGTTACAACCTCCTTTCAGGTAGGTGCACACTGTGATGAGGTCTCCCCTCAGCCTCCTTTTCTCCAGGCTAAACAACCCCCATTCCCTCAGTAGCTCCTTGTAAGATTTGTTCTACAGACCCTTCACCAACTTTGTTTTCCTTCTCTGGACATGCTCCAGCACCTCAGTGTCCTTCCTGTAGTGAGTGGCCCAAAACTGAACACAGGACTCAAGGTGCAGTCTCACCAGTGCCCAGCACAGAGGGACCGTCCTTGCCCTAGTCTTGCTGGTCACACTATTGCTGATACAAGCCAGGGCACCAATGGCCTTCTTGGCCAGCCTGTCCAGGTCCCTCTACAGAGCCTTCCTACCCTCAAGCAGATCAACACTCCCACCCAACTTGGTGTTGTTCACAAACTTACTGATTGCACTCAATCTCCTTGTCCAGATCACTGATTTAAAAAGGGAACTGGCCCCAGTATTGAACCCTGGGGAACACCACCTGCCGCCAACAGGATTTAACTCCATTCACCACAACTCTCAGGGCCCAGCCATCCAGGCAGCTTTTACCCAGGGAAGAATATGCCTGTCCAAGCCACGAACAGCCAGCTTCTCCAAGAGAATGCTGTGGGAAACTGTGTCAAAGGCTTTACTAAAGTCCAGGTAGACAACATCCACAGCCCTTCCCTCATCCACTAAGTGGGTCACCTTGTCATAGAAGGAGATCAGGTTCATCAAGCAGGACCTGTATTTTCATGAACCTATGCTGGTTGGGCCTGATCACCTGTTTGCTCTCCATGTGCTGCATAATGGCACTCAAGATGATCTGCTCCATAACCTTCACTGGCACCAAGGTCCAGCTGACAGGCCTGGATCCTCCTGGCCCTTTTTGTAGCCTGGGGTCACAGTTGCTAACCTCCAGTCCACTGGGACCTCCCCAGTTAGCCAGGACTGCTGGTAAATGATTGATCATATCAGAGCTCTCACCCTGCATTTTCTCTTGGCTTTTCAAAGTGAGCTGTACAACAGATCTATGTGAAGGGTAATGTTCATCTCCTGGAACAAAGCAGCCTACAGTATTGCAGGAGGACACCAACTTACAGAAGCCTGTCAGTGTGTTTAAATTCTGAATTCTGAGCTTTTTATTATTGCAGCACAATGTTTTTTTCTAATCATAATGAAAAAATGTCAATTATTCATGGAAGAAATAAAGATTATTCTGCCTGTTGTTTTCAAGGAGTGAAGTAGTTGTTATATGTTCCTCTAAACACTGTTGTTATATAGAATATAATGTTTCATATACTCAGGGTCATGAGCTCTGACTTATTACTAAACCATGAATCATCAGAGCAAACTCACACATCCAAACTGCAGTAAATACATGGAGGCTTAAGTTTTGCTTCTTATTACAGCATCAACTCACTGGAGATAATGAAGTTAAGTAAGAGCCATTTATAGTCTCCTGGCTTAATCGCAGCTTAACTGGGATCAAAAACCAGATGAACAATGAAGTTGAGCCCTAGTTGCTGAGAGCAGAACTTCACAAGGAAATAGATTCATGGTAACACTTGAGATTCAATAATTCTCAATAGTTTTCTGTCCTTTCAAATACGACAAATAACTTCCTTCTCTTTTCTCAGTATCCTCAGGATACCTCAGGATACTTCCTGGTTTTTGGTTAAAAACCCCAGCAACAAAAAGTTGTAAATGTTGCACACTAAGTTATGATGGAAGACTAGAAAATAAAAAAAGGCACTTGCAGGATGACTTTTCAGTCCAAAGAAAAGCTCTTCATTTTTTCTGCTAATTCCTGTCTCATTTCTATATGTTTTTTCAGGTTTTGCACTTCATGGGGCAGGTTCATGTCCCACACTGACACACAGGATTGTAATTCTGGAAGAAAAAAAAAAAAAAAAAGGAAATAATTTGCAAAGTGCAACAGAAAATAATTATTGCATAATTAGAAGTGGTTTTGCTTATCTGATTTTTTTTTTTAATTACTCATAAATTGCCTTAGTGAAGCATGGTGCTTAGGAGCTGGTAGACAAGTTCTATGACACTTTATGTGTGAGGTAATGAAGTTACGGGTTATAACCTGTTTCTACTTGCACTATGATTTGGATTCCAGTTCCTAAACTTAGACTACACCATTTAAAAGCAATTGAAAAAACATTTTTGGTGCCTGTGAGCTACAAGGTAGATAAGGACCTATACTGAGGTGCCTGCATAAAATGTCATCTCTGTTTTCCCAAGTAGATGTTCCCCAAATGCTTACAAGACTCAAAACCCAATCACTGTAAAATAAAAATGAAAACTGATTTCATAAGGTAGTGACTATACTGGAAAAAGGTCACATCTTCAGTCTCCCTTCATGCAAACAACTCTTTATTCATGGAGAACTCATATTGATTTTAGTGGAATAAGGATAATTGAGAGCACTTGCATGACTAGGGGCTCACAAACTAAGACCCAAAGGTTTGTGAAAGTCTATGATTCCTCCTCATAATGGAACTCTTAAATACAATTAAAAGGCTGAAAAGGAAATAGGTGTTTATATGGTAATAATCAGGGCATATCAGGATATAAAACCCACTAGCTGTAAGACTGATTCTTAATTTACTCCAAACAGTTTGCTCATCTACAATGGCCACCCTTAACTTTCTACTGTTACTGCCTCATTTTTAGGCGTCACTGAAACTGGGATGAGATAAAGGTGAGGAAGGGGATCAACTCTAATTGCTCTGGGAAAAACCCAAAGATGGAGATATTCTACCCTCCTGTTCCAGTACTTTGCTATCCTAATTGTCAGGAAGCTTTTCCTGATGTCTGACCTGTATCTCCCTTCCTGTAATAGAAACTGGTCAGTCATCCTACCTTCAGGGAAGATGGAGAAGTCCTTATTCCCTCCCTCTTTATTTGCATATTTGAAGCCTGCTATCATGTCCTCTCTAACCTTTCTTCATATTAACCAACTTAAATTCCTGCAGCACTTCTTTACAGGTTACATTTTTCTCCTCAGGATGATTCCTAATAGTTCATTCACAGACATTCAGCCATGTCCCAGGTGGGTATGCTCCTCCAGCAGAGGCCATATCAGTACTCAGCAGAGTGTAAGAACTAGTTTATGTCCTGCAGACACCACTTTTCACCTGGTGTGAGAATGGTGTTTGCCTCTTCTGCAGCAATGTGATATGGCTGACTCATGTTCAGCCTGTGATCAGTTTAATCCTTTTTCTTGCAGCACTGCTGTTTAAGCTGATCACTTCCTGATGTTGATACAACAGATCGTTCCTAATTGAGTAAAAGGTCTTGGTTTTGTCCTTAGCATTTGTTCTATTTGTCAAGGTAATTTTGAGTTCTAATTCTGTCCTTCAGTGTGCTTGTGGCTTTGTCTTGGCTGAGAATTGTCTGCAAATCTGAAATGCACATTCAGTATTCCTTCATCCACACAATCCATGAAAACATTGAGGATTCCTGCCCAAGCACAGACCCCTCTGAAAATCTATTTCATTGATTGTCCAATTGGACAATGACATTTACTCTCCAAATACAATTTCCAGTAAATTGTGTGATATACTTGAAATAGTGACTTCCTCTGATCCATTTTGGAAGTTACTGTTAGTTCATTGGAGCCCAGAAATGCAAAGGACAATAAAAAATAATACTGATGTTTCAATAAAATGATATCAAATTATGATCATCAGCTCTCCACTCTCAGTGGGCAGTCAGCATAACAGTGTCTACTCCACTAATAACACAAATTAACAGAAGACAGTTCAGGTACCTTTGTGATATTTGTTGTCTTCGGTGTCACTTTTATAGCAATATCCCAAAACCAGGACAACATTCTTGAGACTCCCTTTTTTAAAGAAATAAAATGCCAACTTTTAATTTTAATGGGAACTTTGTAATTTAAGGATAGAAAGAGTAGAGGACATCATGTCACTAGGAGGTCAGAAAGCAGAGTTCAATCAACTAGGCCCTTTATTCAAAATCATTAACTATGAAATACCCAGACATGAAAACAATACAGCTCATGTCTCCATTTAATGTAGGGGTTCATCTGGGTTCAAAGCCAAAAGCAGCCGTGCAGCCTGCTAAATGCTGACCAGCCTGAGAACAAAGCACCCTGTTATTTGACACCAGCAGAGGTAGCAGAGTCACAGGAAACAGATGTCACAGTGGAAGGACAGGCTGCAAATGAAGTCCCAGTGCACAGCAGACACAGATAGTGCCAGTACTCAGTTTGGTTATAAAAAACCCTCAAATAACTAAATATGATACAGAATCACAGAATGGTCGGGGTTGGAAGGGACTGTGAAAGATCATTCAGTCCAAACCCCTGGGCCAGACCAGGATCACCTAGAGCACATAACACAGGAACTTGTCCAGGTAGGTCTTGAAAGTCTACAGAGAAGGAGACTCAACAACCTCTCTGGGCAGCCTGTTCCAGTGCTCTGTCACTCTCACAGGGAAAAATGTTTCCTTCATGCTTATGTAGAACCTTCTGTGCTCCAGTCTGCACCCATTGCCCCTTGTCCTATCGCTGGACAACACTAAGAAGAGCCTGGCTCTGTCCTCCTGACACTCACCCTTTATATATTTATAAAATAAGGTCTAATTAAACAAGGAGGTCTAATTAAAAGTGTTTTGAACTAATGATGGCAGGAAGGTAAGAAAAGAGAATTACCAGGGAAGCAGAAATTGGGCATGGATCATAGGAAGGTGCCTACTGAATAATGCAAAAAATCCTAGAAAGACAGGAGTGGTGGGCTCACAGAAAGGGAAGTCAAATACGCCACTGTTTCAGTGTCAACTTCCTGCTTATTCCCAACAACTCATGTTTATAAATGTCATGCAGAACAGATGGGAGTCGCTGGCTGTTATGCTGCCAGAGCAGCTCCCTGTCCCACTGGCAGCACGAGGGCAGTGAGCCCTTGGCTGTGCACTAGTGAGGAACACAGGCTTAGCTTCCTGGATCGTGGATGTCCCTTTTTATAGTACAAACATTGTAGCCATCAGGACCATATGAGCTAAAATACTGTGCCAGTGAATCTGGACCATGCAGCTGGCATTCTTAACAGCTGAGGACTGAACAGACTCCACAAACTTGCTTTCTCAGGCAAGTCAGAAGATGTGGGAGTTTTTTGACTCACACAAGTCAGCACTATGAGCTAACTAGTTTCTAGATATTTCTGGTGCCAGAGATGTTTCTGATGCCAGAAAGAAAAAAACAGTCCACAAACTAGGTTCATGGTGGCAACGTGAAAATATCCACAGCCTGCAACTGTGAAGTTCACTAGCAGGAGTACAGTGTGTTTCTGAGGCCACAACAACAGTTTCAGGGTCTTTTTTTGACAGCAAACACATTTTAAATCACACTGACAAAGGAACTTCAGGGTTTTTTTCAAAAAACCAGTGGGAGACAACGGGAACCCACATGTTGTGCCACAGAGTACTTTTTGAAGTAATGTGTATTTTGAACATGCACACCACTGCAGTGCAATGCAGAGTTGGCAAGGCCTTTATTACTTCTGGGAGAGATCATAGAATCATAGAAGGGTTAAGGTTGGAAGGGACCTTAAAGATCATCAGGTTCCAACCTCTCTGCCATAAGCAGGGATACCTCACTCTAGACCAGGCTGCACAAAGCCTCATCCAACCTGGCTTTAAACACCTTCAGGGAGGGGCTTCCTAAAACTTCCTAGGCAAACTATTCCAGCACCTTACTACCCTCATGGTGAAGAATTTCTTCCTGATATCTAACATAAATCTCCCCTCTTTCAGTTTAAAACCATTACCCCTTTTCCTATCACTATCTTCTCTGATGAAAAGCCCTTCCCCAGATTTCCTGTAGCCCCTTCAGGTACTGGAAGGTGCTCTAAGGTCTCCCCAGAGCCTTCTCTCCTCGAGGCTGAACAGCCCTTCTCAGCCTGGGTTCAGATGCAGGAAAGTATACAGGTGAAGGAAATTAAAACAGGCAAGAAGTGCCCCATACTCAACTAAGGACCTCTGGCTATTTGTAATTACCACTGAAAACCCACAACTACTGTCTGCTTATCGAAACAACTGGCCCTGGTGAAAGGGACAGCACAGATGTACAAGCCTGAATCCAAGTGTGTAGCACTTTCCTGATTTTGCTGTGTCATATGCCTGTGACCCAAACTTAGAAGAAGAAAACTAGGCAAAAAGCAATTAAGGAAAAACTATTAAAACCTAACAAACTCCAAGACTGAGAATCCAGAAGCATAGAACTTAAGATGGAGAAAGAACACAGGGCAACACAGGTCAAGACAAAGACTACTGGACAGAAGATGGCTGGGACAGAAGATGGCTGAAGCAAGGCACAAGGATGCAGTGCAGGGGGGCAGTGTTCATGTCCTGATCAGTGGCAGGCCAAGGAAGAGCTGTTGTTTTCTGTGGGCACAGGTATAACAGCCTGCTGGTACTCACCTAACACCAGAGTGTCTGACATGGACTGAAGATGACAGCAGTGGAATAGAATGAATGAAAAGACATGGAAAATGCTCATCTGTTCCTGGAACACCATGCCAAACAGCAGAAAGCAATCCTAAACTTGGCACTGATTTCAAAGTGCTTGTCATTTGATGGTTTTACTTACCTAGCTGAGCTGTTATCATGACTCTAACAGAATCACAAAAGTTGTCTATAACTCGTACAGGACGACGTGTTGATAAATCAAGCAGCAAGATATGTCCCCCTCCTGTCCCTATCCATAATGCAGTATTTTTCTGCAGGCAAATGGTCTTTACTCTTCCAGAATAAGCCAGTTTATGTTTTGATTCCTTATTTAGCTTTTCCACTTTATTCCTAGAAGTACAGAGAGAATTGGTATTAATATCTGGTGGCACACTATTCCTTAACTGCTAAAATGTCTCTCAATACCAGCCTTTTAAACAATCATTCATCAAAAGAAGCAGCAAAAATCTCATGCTAATCAGTTGATTGGCTTGAAACAAACTGACACGAAAACTGCTGGACTTCTAAGACCCAGCTGGTCAGCTTTAAAGAGGAGGCAGGTGTACTTCTGTTCTCTCTCAGCCTCCAGAGACTAATGTCACTGCAAAGTGGAAGGAGCACACCTAGAGCTGCTCCTAACCTCACCATGAAAATGAAATTGATGTGGCACGTTAAGGGAGACCCATAATTTAAATGCAAATGAAAATAATCTTCACTGTTAGTAAAACTCTGATCTTGAACTGAATCTATGCACTGGAGACAGAAGTCATTCCTAGTCAGGGGATACAGGAAGTAACTGGATGCAAAAACATTAGTACCTGAGGGACAGCAAAAGATTTTCTTCTTTCTTGAACAGAGTTAAATTTATCTCCTCAACATCAGAGACAAATTGTGAAATATAATAAAGGTCTTAAAGATTACAGATTCTGCATGGGATATTCTCAAGTTCTGGGCCAAAAGAGAGGAAATGAACTCCACATTTGCTCAAAGAACTGGGCAAATCCCTTAACTCCAGCAGGTTAAGGTACTTTGCTAGGGAAGGCAATCTAATATTCAGCTTTCTATGCATCAGGCCATCAACCTGAAATAAAACACTTACTTAAGAAAATGTGCACAATCAATTAGTTCTGAAAGTTTTTCGGTCTTCTTGTCCCAGATTTCCACAAAATGGCTGTTTTTCTTTGCCAAATAGATGGATTTGTCTATTGCTATTGAAATAATATTTGCATCACTGTATGCATTATGACAGAATCTAGAAGAGAGAGGAACACCAGTTAGACAAACAGCAAATATCTAGTGGAAAAAACTTGACTATTATGAGTGGGATTAGCTTCCCTCTAACTCTTACAGAATCATTTAGCCTTAAAACCAAACTGGACTAGGATACAACTGAAAAGGTTTGCTATAAACTTCCTACAGTTCAATATAAATTCTCACAGCAATGGAGTTAGGCTGATGATATTGCTGGAGATGCATTAATACCCAAAACCTTTTAATGAATCTTTCCCATCTATCTGCTCAAATAACATATGTTCACATCACAGCAGAGCAAACTCTACCTTTCTCCTGCCATTCTTTCAATGTTTGGAGACACTTGATAGTTCTTACAGGACCCACAATATGATAGAGGAAGGGTCACTCGAAACAAAGCCTAAAGAGCAGCAGTGAGATTTAGTTCACTTGCTCTGCTCTTGTTCTACTTCAGCTAACAGCCATTTTTACTATCTTCCTCTATGTATGAATTTGCATTTCATGCCATATCTGTGCCTCCATGTATCAAAGTATTATTTGCCCTGACTATTTCACTGATTATTCACCTTGAAGAACAGCTCCAAATCACAGGTCCCTCATGGCAGAGAGCGACACTGCTACTTTCCCTAAAGTTACTTGGTTTGGACAACTGTAATTTCAAAACCATACACAGTTTTGCCTCCACAAAGCTCAGATTATTCCTGTGATATATTTTTCATCTTGCCATTCAACTGTATTTTATGGACATTTTAGTTTCTTGCTTTATAGTAACACATTATTTTCTAAACCAAATTTGTTTCCCAGAATAATGATCTCTACTAGCTTAAAATCAAATACATTTTTCCCTGCTCGCAAAAAAACTCCCCTTAACTTCAGAGCAGGATTTGCTCACGTGTATCAAACACTCCAAAAACACCAGTCTCCAACTTCAAGCAAATGAGAAGACAGCAAACATACATGATTTAGCTATATAGGGCAGTGATTTGCACACGTCCTACTGATGAACATGTAAAGAAAAACACTGTGTTAAGCAGGTGTGTATAATTCTAGATAAGGTCACCAGGGCCTGGACAAATGCAATGGGGGTCAAAAAACTTAACAGTTTCATTAATACATGTCCTGAAGAGATACTGACTTCATAAATCCTTTATCTAGGAAAGGTGCATATTGCTTGTTTAAACACTGCAAGGTACACTTCAAATACTCACTGATCTTACATTAATGCACATTGTATTCTACCTGTATTATGGAAGTAAAAGAACAGAAAAAAGAGGACTCAAAGAATGAGCTCTAGAACAAAACATTATATCAAAGTACTGCCAGAAATCTTGAATTAAAACAACAAAAGAATCAAGGAACGTCGCTTATAAAAAAAACTTACAGTTGACTTGTCTTTGTTTCAATGAGCTTTTGAACAGAGAAATCACTGGTTAAGGCAATTATTTTTGTTCCACAGCCTCCCCAGATTAGATTTTTTTCAGATAAGTTTGAGGATTCATTCAAGCACATGAGTGGTGTACTAACATTTCCTATAGTTAGAGTCTTCAAAGGGGTAGCACCCTTACACTGCAAGAAAAAATACACCCTTCATTAGAAACAAGGGGTATACAGACACTCAGAAACTGTTAAAACAAGACCACACAGCTGGCTAAATTAAGTTTACAAAGCCAGAGTTTCTTAATAATTATGGTAACTTTCCAAAATGTTACAGACTGAAAAGCACCATAGTCTCATTACAGGTGTCCCACAGAAACAGGCTGTGTGAGCAGGAACAGGACAGAGCTAGGATTGCTACTTCTTGCAACCCTTGGTGCAGTTCAAGAACTGGATGGAAAGTCACATCCACACCTTGGAGAAATCCCACACTGGACCATACTCTAATTCTGCAATGTATTGCAACTCCATAACTGCTCTAAGTTACATATGGTCAGGAGCTAACCCTCAAGAACCAGCATACACAAACAGGCCTCAGCATTTCTTTTCTCTGTTCTGTGAGTAGAACTCTGACCTACAGAAAATCTAAAAAATATTCTCTTTTTGAAGATATGTATTCTACAAAAAATGAGTGTGAATTAAAAGAAAAAGGAGCTATAACAGTATTAAAGAAAGGAGATTAAACTGTTAGAATATTTTAATAACAACCATTAATGTCACTAGTCAGTTTGTTACGCCTTTCCAAGACCTGTAATGAGAAATCATCCACCCCTCTTAAATCTATTGCTTAAAACAGATATTGTACAACATCTGCAGTCCCACTAGGACTGCAGTAGAAAATTATTTTTAGTTCTAGAGAAATAAATAAAAAATAAGCTGCAGGAAATAAAGCTATTGTTGGTAGATGCTTTACATAATACTGATAGTAATTTGTAGAACAGACAGCAAAGAACAAGTCTACCTTTACTGCTCTATCTTCAAAAATTGCCAGTTTGCCATCAGCTGTGCCCACCAGGAAGAAATTCTGTTTCCTGAAATAAAATAAAATAATGAATTCTAGGAATGCCTTAATTGGGCATTTAAAAAAAAATTAAAATGAGTACCCACTGGTATTTCAAGAGTTTCATTGAACACTGAAAAGCAAATACAACACCTGTGGTCAAGAATGTAGTCTCCAGTTACACTGCGTGCAAAATTAAGTTAAAATGTAGGCAAAATAAGCAGTTGTCTGAACAAAACAGATGGAATTTTCTGAATATCTTTGTTTAGTCATATTTTCAAAATGTAATCCAAAACATTTAAAATTCACTTGTACCTTTGCTTTGAAAGAGAATTACAATATAAACAAGTGATGGAATCTGACATTTTCTGCAGACGATGCCTTCTTGTTTCATCTTCTGTGTTAACTGCCCACAGAGAACCCGACTGGGTTCCTGCCACAATCCAGTTTTCTTTCTCAGTAGGAAGGGTCACTAAGGCCAAACTTAAAATTTTACTATCTGCAATATCCTGAGTTGGGAAAAAAAAGAAACACAACCTGGTTATGATTTCAGTAAAGGTAAATGCTAGTAAATTGCTGGCAATAAAAATAAAATTCAATCTTCTTTGTGCCTAGACAAACCTAAGGCCTAACCTCCCCATTAAGAACTCTAATTCCCTGTTAGCAGAATATATCTTCAACTGTCAAAATGCTGGGAAGGTCCCCTCAAACACGAGGGGAAAATCTCTCAGCTGAATGCTGAGAAGAATCCCTCTTTACTCTTATGAAGGTCTCAAAGCCATCAGAGAATTAAACAAAATAAACTAGACAAGATCTGTTTCTCATTTGAGTTTTAGAAAAATAAGCCATATAGTTTATAGCAGAGCTATCAACTCAATGTATCATGGTCAACAGATGGCAGATGGAAATGCTACTTGAACAACTTTGATAATTAGTCTCACTCAGTTCTGGCACTCATGTTCATAACAGCACATCAAGTCTGTGTAAAACCTTTTCCTTTTTCTGATGGCACACGATGGAGATGTATGAAAAGCAAACAAAACAAGCTGGAGATTACGAGCTGGAAAGACAGTATCATGAGAAGTTCAGGCTGGATGGCAGGAAGAGACGAAAAAGTGACTGCGTTTCTGTTTCGTTTCATGGATACAATGACGACTCACTTATGAGCAATCTATGTTCCCTCAAACCTGAGCTTTCCAGAAGTAATATCCTGTTGCTAAAATGGAAAGAATTCTTCTGAAGTACATCTGCGTGCCAAAAAATCAGAATAAATGGCAAACTTCCCACGTACCTCACAAGTATGTCCATCTGTATTGAGGTTAACAAAGGAAAGCTGTGCTTTTTCTGTGTTCCCATTGCCTATCCAGACTCCTGCCTTCTTGCAGCTCTGGCTGGCAGCCACCATGCACTCTGCTGTGGAAGTGCTGGGTATTGACACATACCTCATCAAACAGATAAGCTCTGCAGAATTCAAGATCTCATAAACCTACAAAGAAAGCCACAGTAAGCACATGGTAATAACTATGGCTTCTACAGAGACAAATAAATAACAAGCAATGGATAAGAATGTTTTCTGGAATATGGACACAGTATGTCAGCAAAGTTGGCTTATTTGTATTACCACTATTAAGGAACAATCTTTATGCATTGAGCAACTTTACGTTGACTCTTTTTTTTCTGTTAAAATGTCAGGAAGTCAGTGGGGTTAGTTGAAAATTTTACCCATTTCAAAGAGCAACATGATGTGTGGTGACAGACAGTAGGTTTCAGATCCACACTGCTGTCCTCCTCTCCCATGCATGGAAGGCTGTGGGCTAACCACTCTGCTACTGTACAACAAAGTCCTTTTTGCGTAGAACTTTTGCATAGTATAGACCATGAAGTAATCCAAATCCTGTTTTGTTACAACCACTGTACAGCAACATAGGGAAAAACAGCAGGCTAGAATAAATGGTTGGTAGATTTGAACTGAACAGTTTATCCTGGATGGCAAGAGTAGGCAATACTCATGGCTGCTTTAGTTCCAGAGAAGAAGAGAAAAAAAAACAGTGCCTTTTACTAACTTAAATATCTCATTCCTTTTTAGAAAGCACAACAAATTTGTTGTATCACCTATCTCAAAGATGAAAATAAATACGCTTGTTAATACCTGGGAAGATGTTGGTCGCTCCTGAGGGTTTTCCTTCAAGCACTTTTTAATTAAATTTTCAACTTCAGGCCAGGGGGCACACCCATATTCTTTGACAGGATCTAAAATAAAAAATTAGATAACTTCTTTAGTTAAAAAATTGGGAGTTCTGAATAACATTCTTCTTATTTTAAGAATTCATCTAACTTCTTACAAAGCTGCTCTAAGAAATATCACACTTGCAGATAAATGTCAGCATGAACAGCTTGGAATTGCTCATCTGCCATTAAATGCTAGAGCATGAAGTGCTAGAGCTAGAATCCTTTTCATTAAAAGCAGTCAAAGTAAATGGATTTTGCTTTATTTTTTAATTAATTAATTAATTAATTTCCATTTCCCTGTACCTGGGACTGAATTTCAGATACATGTGAGCTGTATTTTGATTAATGCTGACCACTCAAGGGCACATCATTTCAGTCTGTACTCTCTTCAATTCCTATGAACATTTTTCTTCATGTTTATTCTTCTGTGTTTGGAAGAGTATATGGAATATAGATGAAGCATATGGAGTAGAATATATGGAATACAGATGAACTGCCAATAATATGCATAGCAATTTAGAGAAATAACTCCATATAGTATTTAGGAGATATGGAAGTTTAAATTCCCAGTGCTTTGAATATGTATCTTATGACTGCAGGTGTTGACTTTTCTAAGAACAAATCACTCATGACTAATGGTGCCTGTTTTGCTTTTCCTTTTAGTTTGCCATAATCCACAGCAGATATTCCAGTCCCACATGAGACTGAGATAACATTAATGATAAATACCTGCAAATGAACATGTCCTGTTCAGCAAATGACAGGCACTATTTACTTTGAGCTCAACCTGCTCCTATTTGGTGGAAATACATAAATTATGAGCACGTGCACAGATGGAACTGCACTATCTCCAGGCACTAATACTTCTGATTATTTCATAGGGCTTATAATAGAGAAAACAGCCAAAATGACAGCTGCATTCAAGAGATACTTAGTCATCAGTTCTCAGGATGGCCTCTTTACGAAGGGGGTTTAAACTGCCTGAGCTACTAATGGGAGTATTCTCTTTAAGGATTAGGAAATGTATGAACACTATGTCTCTCCTAATGGAGCAGCCATGCCAGATTAAGCTGTACAGTTGCTGCCTCGATGGAGTGACTTTTCAGTCTTGAAGAATGTTTCATGAGTATAGGGCAATAAATAAGAACACCACACATTAAACTTGTAGTACTAAAAAACTGCAAAAGCACCTTACATGGAAGTTGCCAAACACAGTTATACTGTCCAGCTGACTACATCACGTCCAGCCTGACAGTCTGTTTCATCTTCCTTCCAGCAGCCAACAAGTACATATTGTCATACAGATGTAACATGAAGAATGTTATGCAGCTGGTCAGGGACTTCACACTCTTGACAAGTTAAAAGCAATGCCTATTAAAAAACTTTAGGAGTTGCTGCTCTTTAAAGAAAGTGGGTTTTGTTTGTTTTTTTGTTTTGTTTTTAAGAAAGGATTTCAGGGATTTTAGAAAGATTTTCAGATATGCAGCATCTCTATAATGGATTTTATAACACATTATATCTTGATCACAGAACAGAAGTGGAATTATGTTTATCTTAGTGCACAATGTGCATTATCACAGTAATATGTAAGGGTCAAGTCCAGACATGGGTATTAGAAGGTACCTTCAGCAACATCCATTTTAGCTAGGTCTGGATAAAGTCCCAAGTAAACAAAACCTCTATTTATTTATAAGGTAAACCTGCTAGATCCCTTGAAATCACAATTAAATTCTAACCAACCTGATGCTAATTAGATGCCTGTATCTCACTATTTCCAGACCATGTGAAATTAGATATTGCTATTGTTTAGTCTCCTCCTCTGATCACTGACAGATCCAACATCAGATATAAGAGGTGTTATTTTTGGAGGAGGCAGGACAGTCTGCTTTCATGTTAAAGCTTTAAGAAACAAGGCATACCTGGTAACTTTCCTTGTATTGCTAATTCATCAAATTCATTTGGAAACTTCAAGCCTTCCATTATTCTACCTCCTTCTGTTAAAATGTCATAAAGCAGCAAGCCAAATGAATAAACATCAGCTTGCTGATTGTAAATAACATTTCCTCTGGCAACCTCCGGTGCTCGAAATCCTGAAAATAAATCATTCATTAATAGTTATGATTCATACCAAGCTGAAGCCATCTTTATTCTTCTAAGAGCAAACACTTACTGCTGAAAATGTCACAGGAAGTAAGCCAAAAATGGAACACTATTTCTAGGCTGGGAATAGTTTTCTTGTGGCAGATATCAAAAAATATCAGGAATTGGTATAAAGGAAGGGGACAGTGCATAAGCTACAGAGCTCCTGCACATAAAATAATTAATTTAGCAATGAATAATGAAGTCTACAGGGCAAGTCTACAGTTTTTAATGAAAGCCTAGCATTTAAAACTTGAAGCCACACCCTCATGCTCGATTTCCAAAACCCAAAGGCACTTTTCAAAGTTGTTGAATTGGTTAGTCCTTTAAAAAGGATGCTACTATGTTCTCTCTAAAGTCAGGAAACAGTGGAGGTATTTATTGTCTTTATAAAAATTAAGACCTACCTATGCATTGCCAAAAATTAAATCAACAAATAATTTTAGCAGTATAATTACAGTAACGCAATAACCACACTAAAGCAAGACAGAAAAAATGTATAACTAATGCATGTAATTTAATTTGTTCTCTTTAAAGAGAACTCTTTGATTCTAAAGAATATACTTGATTCTTCTAAAAGGGGTTGAAACATGAATAGGAAGAAAGGCAAAGAGGTATAACTCTGGCATCACAACTTTTAACAGCATTATGACCACATTTAGTGATTTTGACCAGAGCACAGATTTGAATTACTTCTTACAGACCAAACAAAAGACTTATTAGTTATTTTTTTATATAATGCACTGTAAAGCAAAGCATTTTCCCATACCTGGGGTGCCTTCGGAGGTTTTTATTCCCATTCGGCAGCAATACTGGGCAATGCCGTAGTCAGCTATTTTTGCAATAACAGCTGAATTGGGATATAGGGTAAAAAGCAACACATTGTGAGGCTTTAAATCCCGGTAGATGATCATTGCTGAATGCAGGTACCTGTTAATCAAAAAAGTGTTTACTGAAGCCATTAATAATTCAGGGCTGCGTCTCTACACACACTGGATGCTTTACTGCCACAATAGTAAATAGTCCTTTCTAATGTTAAAATACTTCGTTAAAATATGTCAAGCATCATCAACATGACATCACCTTACAGGATACTGACTTCAGAGGTGCTCTGAAATACTGTTGACTGGCACATAAATATTGTTGTACTTTAGTACCAAGTCTTATCTGAAGCGTCACTGGCAGTCTGAAAACAGAATCTTAGAAATTTAAGCTTTGTTGTGAATTTTGTGGTTTTACAGTCACACTTCAATAGCTTTTAAGGACATCCATGGACTTTCAGAATTTTGAAAATTCACTAGATTAATTTATTTGACATTTTAATGAGAAATCACAGCCACATAGGAATTCCACCCAGAGCTCTCAGTATTCCTCTACTTATATGAGCACCACCTGTTAGCAGAAGAAAAAACAGGTAGCAAAAGTTTGTGTTATTCATCAGCTAATCAACCACAAAAATTCAAACATTTGTCTGACCCAGATAGAACTGCTTGAGATAGAAGAAAAGATAAGTGGTATATTTGCAGTATATTCTACTTGCAGCCGTGTCCTGTTTGTACAGCAATGCAGAAGTCACATTTACCTTAAGCCATCAGCTACATGTAGAGCTATTCTGTGCTGAAGTGTTCTAGTTAAACTTGCATTGTCTTGCTGAAGCAAGCGATCCAGAGATCCCTTAAGGGCTAATTCCATCACCAGCATTCGGGGACGGATTCCAGCAGCCAACAGAGACACTAAACTGGGGTGATGGAGGTGGCAAAGCACTGCAAGCTCCTGGAAATTGTAAAATAAGATTAAATACTGCAAATAGAATAACCTCTGTAGCTCTGAAATAAACTTCTTGGAGTCAAGTCTTGCACTTTACTTAAACATTTTAAAGTCTTCAATAGAGTTGGTATTCCAAGAGCAGCACTACAGAAAAAACCACAGTATTTCTTACTTGTCTGAGGAGCCTGAGGGAAGTATGCTTATTGAAAATCTTCACAGCAACATCTTCTCCACCATAGGATGCACGGTACACAGATCCAAACCCACCATCACCTTTTCAAAGATAAGATTGAAAAGAAGGTTAAAAACATTGGGATATCAACCATTTGTCAAAAAAACCCCAACAAAAACCCCAGCAATATCTGAAAGGGTAAAATATTAAAACACAGGGATCATCTACAAGCTTCATGATCAGTAATCTGAACACACAAAAAACAGTGCCCTAGCATACAAGTTAATGCAAAATCAAAACTCAATGACCTGAAATTCAGAATACCTTAAAAAACACATTTTCACATGTTGCAGAACTGACTTAGTAATTATATTCATAAGATCTGTAAAAAACCCCTACCAAATAATGCTTACCCAAGAGAAATTCAGGAGCTTCATCAAATTCCAGGTCATCGCTGTTCAACATAATATTTCTAGGCAAATCAGCCAGTATCAGGTCAGGAGCAATCTGAGCTATTGGAATGGTATGTCTTGGTTGATCTGGATTTACCAAAAGGTCACCTAAGAAACATAAATAAGACCATTTTAAAAAAAAAAAAAGAGAAAAAGGTAGTGGTAAGACAAAAAGTGTTGTGGATCTCTGTGAGTGTGTATGATCAATGTACCTAAAATTCAACTCACATATAATAAGCACACACACAGAGAAACATGTATATAGAACAGAATATATATGGAACAGAATACTAATTAAGTTTGGCATTCAACTTCATGTATCTTACAAGTTTTTTTCAAGGTTCTGTATCTGTACCAATCATATATGACAGAAACTGTTGCTACGTAACAACACCAAAATAACTAAGAGATTATTTTTATGTCTATAAAAAGAATTTTCTTAGCATGTAAAATATGAGTATTGCCTTTGAATTTACTGTTGTATATGGTCCAATAAAAGATCTAGTATCAGTTTTACTATGTGCTGGATTCAGTTCCATAAACAAAGTTGCATTACTGGTATAATGACAAAACAATTCTTTTCATTACTGCCATTTATACACAATGACACAAAGTAGCTGCTGTCTATACTCATACCATAATTATTTCTTACAGAAATAAAACATTTTAAAATAACAGGAAGTACCCAAATGTTATAATTTGGATGTCATATAATATATATTCACATACAGGTATCTCTATATTCCTCAAATTGAATAAATATATACCTTCTTCAGCTTTTTTAAGTAAGTCATCAAGTAGTATTTTTTGGTGTTCGTCACCATCCTGAAAGCTGTACAGAGCCCATTTCTTCAACAGTGTTCCCCCTTCACCACATACATCTATATCCAGCAAACCTGGAAACCATTCTTCCATAAGAGAATCTATGTGATCCACAACTTGCCCCAAAAGGATGCACCCTTTAAGAAACCAAAAGAAGGAAATGAGACACTCCATTTGCCATACTTATAATTACAAAGCTAAACTGTATATTCCAAAGGCAAAAGCACAACAAACCAAAATGCCAAGCTGCAATCACACTGGAGGAAAAATTAGGCTCAGGAATAATTAACCTTTTCTGCAAGAAGGTGCAGTAATTTTCAAAAAACTGTCTGGGTTGTTATCAAATACTGCTGACTCCACTAGGCAATAAGCTTCAGGAGACCAGTTCAAGTAGATGCCTTGTCTCCAATACATTCTGTTAGGACGAAGAGCTCGCTCTAGAAAATACAAAATTAGAGTTAAAATCTCATCTCCAAAATTAATGTCATGTTGTAAATATGCAGAATAATTCATGGTACTTTAAGTATTTAATTATGATTGCAGGTTTACGTCTACCCAAATAACAAAATAAAGGCTACAACTTGGCAGACAGAATAGACCCACAAAAGCTGAATATATGTCAACTGGTGTTCAGTTCTATAAGGCATATCCAAATTAAATGTTAAACTAGATGGTAGATCATGTAGGAGGTAATGCATGTAGGGATTTCAGAAATGCTGAGGTACATTAAGGTTCATAAACAGAATAACCTAGGCAACATATGAAAAAAAGGCAGTGATTTAAGTTTTTAACCCTTTATCACACACACGTGAAATAGCAAGACGCAACTGGAATTCTATGCTCAGGAGAAATGCCAGGAGGGCAGTCAGTTATAAATCACATTTGCAGAGCACTAGTGATGCATATTTTTAATACTTTACTTGTCAACAGTTATTCATAAATCACACATTAAAAAAACAAAGATGAGATCTATGTTAAAGCATGGAATTATTGGGAAAAAATTAAAGAAGCCTCTTCTGAGAAAAGCAAAGTTTTTAGACTTGCATAAAGGCAGAATCTATGAACTTGGCAAAAAGCAGTTTGGTTTTCTGTGTGGAAAACATATCCTTTCCTGTACTCCTTGTAGAGGCAGATGGCAATACTGCATAAATACAAGGATTTCCTCCATCTCTAGCATGTAAAGGAGAGAAATATGCTGCTTACAATCTCAATTGTCTTTGCTGTAAAGATCAGACTCTATCTGGATATTTCTAAGTTACAAAAGTGACCACTGTTCTTCTTTTCTCTTCTGTGAAGTGACCAGAAATTAGCTAAAGCAAAAATATTGGGAATTATAGCTTTAACATGAAGGTGTTTGCATTCAAAACAAACATGCTCACTGTTGCTTTTGAAGATAAAAGTTTGTACCTCTTCCTGACAGCATGTAAGGTGATATTTCAAGCAACCTGTTGATCAGCCTGGACCAAAATCCCATAGGAAAGTATGGCATTTCATAAAGCCTGATGATAATTTCTGAATTTTCACAGTGGGGAAGCTCTATAACAGGCCTGTGATCAGACAAACTGAAAGAATAAAAATATAAGACAGCATCTAATTATGTACTTTATCCAAACTGACTGATGACACACATTATTTGTTATGTAAAATGCATTATTTATTAATGAATGAATGATTCAAAGGATCAGGGAGAAGACAGATAATGTATATGCTTATTCTGCTTGCTTGTGCTACAGTGAAGTTCTGTAACTTAAACCTAACAGAAACTTACAGTCATATTTATCAAATGTAAATGTGAGAAAAACCTGAGACACATAAAAGGCAGGTAAGAAATTAAGGTAAAATCTTCCTGCACTAGGACTTTGAAGAACCTAGAACCTCAGTGCAACCATACAAGACTCTCTCCATTAGGCAAATTAAATACATCAGGGAAATCTAGAACTGAGGCAGAGAAACTGTGTTACCTGCTTCAGATAAAGCAAACAAACCACAATGAAATTCACAACACTTTTTTGTCATCACATTTAATAACAAGACTGTTTGGAAGAGATACTCTCTCTGAGCAACTTGACTGTGCTTCTCACTCCAAGAATATAGGCTATAAAAATGAATGGGTATCTTTTTATGGCAAGAAATATTCTGTAATAATGGCACACCATGATGTAAAGCTAAATTATAATCTTCCTGTTGTAGTCTCAAAGCATGGTAACTGTAAAAGAAATATTATCCTCATAAAGCATTTTATCATTACAGATTCCATTTACCCACCACACTTACATGATGGAAGCTCTCTATGTTGCAAGATCAGCTTAACATGTCTCTGAAAGCATTCACCCAAATGTAGCGTACTAAGCATATATCATGCTTTCAATACACCAGATTGCTTTGATGGTCAGTTCAACTAGTTAACCTGATGCGAGGTGTTTATTTTGATTGATCTCTGTGGCTCTCATTTGTGGGTAGCTCTTTGCTTACCTGCTTGGGATTAGTAGCTGATCCTCTCCTAATGGCAAAGCAATCTGAAACTTTTCCAGAAGCTTAAAGTATTGTGACATGTAGACCTTTGGAAACTTGCTCTTCTTTAAAAGGAACTTTTCTACATCTGAACGCTTTACAATCCCCTTAGGATATTTAGAAAAGCCTTCCACTTTCACCATCAGAATCTTTCAAAAAAAGTAAAACATTTTCAGGTGTACAGTCAGCATTAGATTGCCTTTTCCTGACAAACTTTGTGCCCAGAAATATTTGGTAGCCTATTATTTAGGGAGAAAAATAGACTCCATTTCACAGTAAACCCAAACATTTCCATCATGCTAGCCAGCAAGAAGACAGGAGCGAAAAAGTTTAACCTGTCCAAGCCACTAGTGTGTTACCACTTTTCAGTAGCCTTCATTGTTCCATACTACATGGAAATCTATCCTACAAGTTAATTTGTGAAAGTGTTCTCTGAAAGGAGCCTATGTATAGTGATTTTTCATATCAGCACTTCACACAGGCATACTGACACTGACAACATGATCCTCTAGGTCTTTTTTTGCCCCTAACCCCACCAGCTTTAAAGGCTCGTTTTTGCCATCCCGTTTCCTGCACTGAATTAAAGACAAAGTTTCAGTGGTTAAGAAGTCTGAATATATATGAAAAAAATAGTGTTTCTAGATCAACATATCAATGATGGTTTCACATAAGCAGTCAGTCTGCTCCTCTCCTGTACCAACACGTGAATCCATATGACTATTTTCCTCTGCCATCAGTACCAAGCTTACAACTACAATTAATCTCCAATTCTTATTATTTCCATCTGAAGTTCCAGCTTTCACTTCAGCCTATCACAGAATTTTGCAGGATTACTTTGCAAAGGAAATGGAAAGAGCCAGGTAAATCAATCTGGGCCCTGAGAAAATTCTGGCTCATGAAACAGTAAAGACACACTGAAGAAAAATCATTAATAAGTTACAGTAGTTTGAGACCAGAAAATAAGTTCCATGAATGTAAACAGAAAAAGTAATCAGAGTCTAACCTGTGCCATGATTTTACATAGCCACTTAGGATCTACAAAATAAAGATCTCTTAGCTGTAGTGCTGGGTCTTGAAAATGAAGGAGTACACCTGCACAAAGAATATTCTAATTAGCGATGCATTTCTCATTAAGCAAAATAAACACCCTACTCTGGGCTGTTCTTCTTATGTGACATGAGACACAAGCAATCTGAATAATAAATACAGCTATTGAATTGATGCCAATATCTCAGGTGAGTAAAATGCAATCAAGGTTTGTTCAGCTTTGCCTTTATTTTCAGATGTTTTGTTAGATTTGTAATCCAACCTGGGCTTTTGCCAAGCAGCCATGCTCTGTATGGTTTATCATTTAACCTTATGAAGTCTGTGCAGCGCTAAGATAAGCTGTTACATACATTCACATAACTACTGTTCTATCCAAGCTATTATAGCAATTGCATCTTTCTTCAGAAACTGTGCTGTATAACCAGAAAGTATGATGTTTTCAAGGTGGGGTAAAATATATATATATATATAGTTACAGTAGTGGTCCTTATATCATGGAATTCCTTTATGACATAAAAACCTGGATTATTAAACTAATGCTTCCCACACTAAACATTTCTGTTCAAAACTTTGTGGCAACCTTGTGCAAGATTTAAAAATGCTGTGTCTGCCTGCTGCAGATTTGCAACAAAGTGCTAAGGAATGTACATTGAAGAGAATATTTTACCTGATTCATTCAGAAAGTGAATTGCGTGAGGAAGTTCATTTTCATCCAGCTGTAACTGGCTTTCTTGTACCAGTTCCAGCAAACGTTTCTGATCAATCACAGGAAATTCAACCGGGACATTTTTACGTTCCAGCAAAATTCTCTTCTCCAGCTCCAGGTAGCTGTCAGGAATAAGCTGACCAACTACTGGCTGATCTCTGATCTGTAGAATTAAGATATTTTTAATATTTTAAATATGTTAATATTTTTAAATGCATCAATTTATTAATGTGAAATGCAGACATTAAGATATAAGGTGGGTATGTCCACTCAATAGTAGCAGCAAGAAGGAACAAGAACACTCTTTTATTGACTAGCATGGCTTCTGAAAGGTAGATGTAACTAATTCTTTTTTCAGAATTATAATGTGAATGTCTTTCTATATATGAATACTCAAAGAAGAAAACACTTCCATATTACATAGATGCGAAAGAACAATTATGACCTCTGCAAAATTCAAAGAGAAGCTTTGATTTTAAGTGAAAAGGAAAAAATTCACTGTATGAACAGATGATGTTGTACCTCTCAGCCTAACACAACACAGCTGACAAATGAATTAAAATAATTATACCTTTTGTAACTTGTAGTATCTCTAGACATGTCTTTAGATAAACTAAGGGGGAAAGGGCAGTAGATCTATTAAAAGTCTCCACTGCTGTTAGTCAGTGGATGCGAGAAGAGGAAGAAATAAATTTGGCCAGGTTAGCAACACTTAAGGGAAACCCAGTTAGGTGCTTTGCCTCTGTTTCCAGAGCCTGAGGTCCTTCTTGGAGACATCCTTTGACCTTTGATATTACCTAGAGCCTGGCCAGGTTTTTCCATGGGTGCTGAGCTAGTAATTGTAGAATTTTTACATGTCAAAAATGTAATTAGTACTTTGTGTAATTTCAAAGACTCAGAGCACTTGATGAAAACACTGAATACTTAACTCACTTTGAGTAACTTCTAAGCAGGTATCTTGTAACACTCCTTTCACAAAGTGCCTACATATTTATGGAAACAACCTCCTTTCCTTTAGGCTATGTTACATTTGTGTAGAAGTCTGAACATCAATATAATTCATAATTGCAGGAGATGTAAAAGTTACAGGAAGAATTTTGAGGAAGCTAAGAGTGAAATGTTTTCCAGTGCCTAAAAGTGAAAACAAGAGGTGTGCACGTTCTCACATTTGTAACAGCACCAGTGTGAGGCTGGTCAAAAATACAGCATTTGCTCTCTAAAATCTGAGCAGTAATTCAGAAGGAATTTGGGCTCTGCTGTGGTTTATGAAGTTCTACCATTGCTACCAGTAGCACAGGGCATCATCTTTGCTCTTTAAAATGTTGTAACACTATCATTGTTTGATGGATGCACTCCTGTTGGAACTAACTGAACTTTGGTACAGCTCAGCAAGTTGATCCTATTGTGTGAGGCTGTATCAGTCAGAACACAGCACAAAACAGCAACAAAAAGGTTTGACTGGAGACTCAGCTCAGTGGTTGAAACTGCATTAACATAGCAGAAAATCTAACTACAAATCAACCACAGCAAGTATGTACAGCCATTGGAGGCCTTTGAGCTCCCTCCATAGTAGCTGGGGGTGCAGTAGGGATCTCAGGGACACCTCTCAGGGTTACCCCTTGAAGGCTGAGGGGCCTCTTAACTGACACCAGACATCAATGGGTTGGTAAGTAACATTTTTTGCATGCATGCAAAATTTAAGATACATATTGTGATGATAATTACATTATAACCTTTGTATCCCAAGCTAACTTTAAGTGTAGTAAATTGTAGAGTATTGACTGCCAACCTACCTGTACTTATTAAATATTTTACATACCTAAATTTACTGATTGGAAGTCAATAAACTAACGACTAGATCAGATCTGTTTGAGTGACCTCTTCACCTATGATGACATGAGTGATAATCATAACTTAAAAATAAAAAAACCTCTATTATTTTTGCTACAGACAGGATCCTGTCTTCCTACATGCTCCATGCCTGGGATCATCTCTTCATAATGCCATTTACACCTAGACAGAGGTTCATGCTGTGAGTAAAGAGAGAGAAGGGAATGATTGCTTGGGATGACTTTGGAGACAGCAGAATCATGAGTGCAGATTCTCCAGTTTAGGAGGATCAATCAGTTCAAGGGGTCTTCTTTCCTGCTTTAATTCTCTTTCCTCTTTCTAGGAATAGTTTCACATTACATAAAATGAAATCAGTACATGGAGGATTAACTGGATTTCAGAAACAAAAAAATCTTATTTCCTGGTCTCCTAAAACCTTGCAATACTTATTTTTGCAATTACATGTTGCCATCCAACAATAATCAGTTTTATTGATTTCTTTTTAAGAAAAAGATGGTCTATTTTTAATTAAGTATTCTATTCATTACTTTAGTATTTGGAAACAAAAATTAGATGAGATATTTAATAAATTATTTTTTCCGGTAAAAAATGAAATTAAAACAAAACTGGTGATTTTTCTTCATTATTTTGCTGTATGTAATGTTTTGTAGAAGGCAAGGTGAGTTTGTTATCACATAGAAAATGTATTTAATTAGATGTTTAATTAATGTTTAAAAATATATTTACTTAACTCAAACTAGGATATTTTCAACATTATGGACAGTATGTAGCTTACCTTGAAATGAAGACTCTCCTTTATTATGATTTTCCGAAGTCTGATAATGGAATCAGATTCTTCTGTGGCATTAACAAAGTGATAATCTTGGATTGCTGGGAAGCCTCGCTTGTTCAACAGCTCTCTAGTAATTTTACTCATGCAGGCCTTACGTTGCATTTCATCAGAAACATCTAAATGAGTGCCAACAAGAATGACGGGGGATGTTGAAGCTCGAGCCTGTTAGTAAGAGCCATATAGTTGATCAACTCAATAGTAAATGTTGATGTTGTTGTTTTATATACACATGTGAGGAATTTAGTAAAAATAATCAATACAATGAAAAGACCAGCTGTTTTCCCTCCTTTAAATATGCCTCTTTTAAATAAGTTTGAAATCTGAAATACTGTTTCATGTTTTAATCAGAGCAAGGTCAAACTGCAACTCCATATATTAGCCTTGACAGGGTAAGGCAGTAAAAGTGCATCAGCCTGTAGGTGCAAAACATATTTTTTTTAACAAGCTATTTCAAAATAGAAATATTTTAAAAGTCAACTTTTTCTAAAAGGAAGCAGCGTAGATATGGATTTTATACTTTGCAAATTAACAACACTGTCAGTGAAACAGAGAGACAACTGTATTTTTCATTAAAAACACCCAACAAAAGGCAAGAGTACTCTGCTAGTTGTCACTGGAACAGGGCTGCGATGAAAGACCAGCAAGTACTGCAAAGGAAAGGAGAACACACCAAAAAAGGATCTTCATCAACACAAAACTGACTGTAACCTGCTGTCCTGTATCACTGCTCAAGGTGAAAAGAGTAAAAAGACAAGTTTAACAGCATCAGTATACAAAATCTTTATGTAATTGCATTGCTCAGCCACAGCTAACCATGATGCAAAAGGAAAGGACAAGTAATGCTTATCATGGGGTGATTCCATCAAATGAAAGTAGGACACTTAAAGGAAAATGAAAATATATAGGCAGATTCTCAGACCAATTTCTCTACCATAGTCCTGGAACCTTTCCTATTAACAACAGGATGCTAAGTATACACTTAACAGCACAATTTCAAACCTGCATCTAATCAGTTTTAAATAAATAAAATTCTGATTTTCCCAGAATTTACAATGGTGCAAAAGCAGGTTTAACTCATAATCTCCTTAATACTGCACTTTCCTTATTTTCATCAGTCAATTAAAAATATTTCCAGAATATAAAAAACACTCTTTTGCTTATTACTCTGTACCATTTTAATGCTGATCACGTCTTTCTTGTTTCATCTTACTGGTTTTATTTGCTGAAGAGGTTCTTTTCCCCCTCTAAAAAGATTTGTGGTTAATTTGCTGTTCACTAACAGCTCCCTGGGAAGTGGAATTCCATTCTGTCCATATCTATGGCTTACCTTGATGTTAAAAAGCCATGGCTTCATAGCATCCACCTCTGCTTGTCCTTTGCTGAGATCATAAACAGCAAGATACAAAGCTCTTTGGGTCATAAAATGAGGGTGGGTACTGTAGAATTCCTCTTGTCCTAATGATAAAATTTTCCACTGTTTAGTACTTCCCTCATTTAACATCTTCAGATCACAAAAAGGCAGCAGAACACTTATTCTCAGATCACTAACCCACAATTTAAATTAATGCTTACAAAAAATTATCTAAATTAACAGGAAACCAGTACTATGAATTTTAGGTGGATACTCTCTGGTAAGCTAGTTTTCAGATTTAACAACTGGTTGCTGCAAAGACAACTTGAAAGGTCATGGTTCTTTCAAAACTCCAGTTTCTTCCGTCCTCCCTTCCTCCATCCCTTTTTCCTTTCAGCAACTTCAAAATAGTACTCCTAATTTCACATTATTAGGTACTTAGAGGCTTTCTATTAAATTGTGAGGGATTAGCTGCCAGTTTACAGAATCCACTAACTTATAAGTAGTAATTGGACTTCTTGTGTAAGTTTGCATGATTCTACTGTCCACAATTTGAAATTTCACAGGCTGACTCTAAGAATAAGCAATGTATTAATGTGTTAGAAAAGACAATAGCAAAGGACAGTAACATCTTGAAATACCTCCAAAATCCCACACATTTAATATAAGCTCTTTCTTCATTTTGCCTTTCCCTTGAATGATCCAGTCTTTTACATCAATGCCTACTGTAGCTTTTGCAGAGCCCAATTCTGTTCGTTTGCATTTCATGAGTTGTTGCAGCAGGGTGGTTTTCCCACTGCCAGTGTTTCCAACAATCATGAGTTTCATTCTGTTGTAAGGTACAGCCTTTTTCAGTCGTTGTTGGAGAAATCTGGTGTAAACAAGTTTGCAGAAGTCACAGAAGCATATAATAAAGAAAAATACCAACAGAACTCAAAGAACTCAAGAAAAAATCTAAAACCATATCACTTTCTTAAAATTTTCAACATCTGTTTGATATTACTGGGATTTTAACAGTCTATTCTAATTTCCAATTTGAAAGTTAAAGCTTAATTCAGGATATTTGTTTGTTTTGTAATTACTCAAAAAAGTGTTCTGTGCAATGTGCTTGGGAACACGAGAAATATATTAGAAATAACTGGTAAGCACTATTTAATGCATGACTTATAGAAGCACCAAATTCAAGAAGTAATAGCATTATAGCTTAAATCACTGTAATCTATTTAGTATGTGTTCATAGGATATGACACCTTCCATAGAGTAACATGCTAGATTTCATATGACAAACCACCATATCTTTCCAGAAGAATATGTTGTTTTCTCAAGAAAGCAAAACACGAATATTCAAAGGGCAATAAACCTGATAATGTCTCTGGCTTTGCATCCCACATGTTTGAAGTCTAAATTGAGATGGAGTCCTTCCAGAGGAAGATCCCAGATTTTGGACAGTCTTCCCATTTCATCTGGAAAGAATCTCAAATCGGGATTATGACTTACATCCAGAGAAGTCAAGTTCTGTAGGAAGCCAATCTGAGAAGGAATCTATGTAAAAGAACATTTAATAGGCAATTAAATGTTAAAAAAATGTATAAGCATGAATACATGAAATATTTAACAAAACTAGGTATTATTTTTACTGCTAACATTTTAAAATAAACAGGTCTAGTATCCTACAACAACAGACAAAAGACCTCATAATAAATTAATTACACAAACTGATATGACACATTCCAGGCAGAAAAGCTTAATAGAATATTGTGATTTTCATTCACAGGAAGTACTATTTGGACTTACATACCGATTTCCTAGTAGAATTAACAATTATATATGAGCTGACATGAAAATCAAATTGACATTGAAAAACTGCATTCAATGGAAAAGTGATTTCATTTTCTTTAGGTAGTATCTTACACTTTACCTCTTTTAACTTGTTGTGGGACAGGTGTAGCTTTTCTAGCCTAGACCAGGCACATGCCTTTTCACTCAAGTCCAAGACATCTATTTGATTATGATTAAATAAGAGCTCCCTTAAGTTTGATGACTTCCAATGCATTGGTCCAGGCAGGCTTATTATCTTGTTTTGGCTTAAATCTACTGACCTCAAACTAAAAACATGAAAACAAAAAATAGAGAAGTTAGCAAATGAAAAAAAAAAAAAAAAGAGATTAACTGGAACTGAATTAAGTTTTAATAAATAAACAACTGGATTAGATATCAGAACAGACAGTTTTCTGACAGGAATGTAGATAGAAGAAGATAGAAAATTACTACTACAAGCTAAGTAGTACAACTACCTACTAAGTAGGTCTTAGTTTAGAAAAATTATAAGAAAATACCTATGATTGATTCGGTATAATATTCTTCCAATATATTTGTTGGTGAATGCAATTGCCTTGTCATGAAAACAAACATCCACACTGTACTGTGTGCATTTGTTTCAGACAGCTAATTAAAGAGCCATGTTAAAGTGTACGTCTTGCAATAATAGTCTATCTCCTTCTTCTGTCTATGATTTGTAGACATGCATGGCTCTGTCCAGATTAGTAGAAGACACACATAAATCTGGTTCACAATCCTGCAGTGCAAATATTCAGTATTTAAACTGTAAACAGTATAGTTAATATACATTTATACCCAGGTAGAGAGTTTAGTTCAGGATTCCAGTTTGAGGTGAGTGCAGGACCATGCAGTAGACTGTTACATGCATTGCCTAACTTACTAGTATAAATGAATGTTAAAAGTTAATTGCAATCTAACATAATACTAACACCTTTTCTTTTTTTTTTTTTAAATAAATTTCAAATTTAAAAAGAAAGCAATTAGGAACTTCCTGGTATTATCAAATTTCCAGAACTCAAGAGCCTACTTATAAACTATGGAGTCTCACTAGGTGATCCAAACTTCTCTCTTTCTTGTTCCTAACTTACAAGACCAAAGTCAGATGGTATGGATACCTCACTCTTTCATCAGAATGTTTCTATGAAAATATGGTATGTTTGTAAATACATCTGTGTGCATAAGTTACACAGTTCAAATACACATCTTTAAGAACTACATAAAAAAGGACATAACATATCTGTAAGTCATCTGTTGGACAAATACACTTTTTACATTACTGTGGAATGTGAGGGATGCAAAAAAATCCATGCAACTCTTTATTCATTTATCCAGCCTGGGAGATATAGAACCTGAAAGCTGCACCTTTTTCAACACATCCATTAAATGTGCTTCTGTGGATATAAACCTTAGCATGCTGAAACAGGGCAGTATCACGTTAATAATGACATGCTCTGTGTCAAGTGGGTTAATGGAAGTTCACAAATCTGTGGGCCTGCCATCCCCATGGTTCCATCAGCACTCACATCTACCCACATAAATCAAATAACTGATCTGATCATCCCTTCCAAGCACTCCTTTCACAATCTGATTCTAGTGACATATTAAGGTCAGTAATTTCTATTAAAAAAAAAAAAAAAGCAGAAGTCTGATTTTCACATGGGTAATACTTTGAAGGTATAGCAAAACAAACGTCACATGCATCTTTATCACACTTTCATCTAGAGGAAGTGTCATTCTTTGAGAATAAATATCTTGTGATATTTGGGAAGTGAAAAACTAATCTCAGTAGCCTTGTGCAAAAGTCTGCAGAACTTCATGAAAAGGAAAAACTGCCAGTATATTTTTACTGCTGGTTTCAAGAAAATAATAAATTAATTCTGTTCTACTCAGCAAGAATTGTCAGCTTCAGCACTCTAGCAATATATTTTCAGTAACAATGACTGGAATCTAAGGAAAAGAATTTCTCAAAATAATGAATGTGACTGATTTTCTTCAGTTAAAAGCTACAAAGTTTCAGATTTAACCTGTTAGAGAAGATTTCCTGAAAATCAGTAAAACATGTAGCAATTTCTGCTTAAAAAAGGTCTTGCCATCAGATTTTCTTCATCAAAAACTTGACATTAACTTCAATAAATAAAATAATAACTTACTGTGGTAGAAGAAGAATTGCTTCTGGAACATTAATAAAATGATTTTGGGATAATTTTAAGCTTGTTATGCTGGATGACAGGTCAGGTATTATTTCTAGAGCAGAAAAAGAGGTTAATTCTACTGTTTTTCAGAACTGTTTCAGAACAAAATTATTTTTAAGACTGGAAATTTCTAAAATCAAAGACAGACTAAAAGTTCAGTCTACCACCTTTATACCCAGGTCTTTGTATAAGTCACCAAAGGCAGAACCTGAATTTTTTTTTTAAAGCTTGTACAAAACTAAACTCCCAAAATGAAAGAAGTTTAGATGTATGGACTTTTATCACATTACATACTGTTCTACTTCTTCTCATAGTAGCATTAAAGACTAAAATAATCTTACTTACACTTTACTGTATTACCAGTATAACACAACATTCCCATAATTCACCTAGTGAGGGGCAGGTTTTATGCCTATACAAATGACTCTTACATTTGAGCTGCATTTAATGCAGGTGTAAGAGCAAACTTCTGAAATACTGTGACAATAACTTCAAGATAGAAGATTTTATGTCTTAAAGACTGAAAAAAATTCTGAGAGTAACTTATGAACTTCTGCAGTGTCATAAGATCTCATTTATGTAATTTATATTTTCCATAAGTAAATTAATTTTTACACTTTTGCATAAAATATTCTAAGGCATTGAAAGACACTCCAAACTCAATTAAATGGCTTAAACATTGGGTTCCAGTGAAGGTGATCTGCTCTGTGGTACCTGAGCTTCTGCACATGGCTTGGATGTACAACATAGGAGCTATGGAAGACCTGCTTTTTCTGGGCCAGAAGCTGTAAGCCAAGTGGAATACTTCAGGGCATCTCAAATAACACCTGCATTCAGGCCAGTGCATCAAACATTCTCTCTTATTCAAAAGACAATGCTGGATGCCCTTCTTTGGACACCATCCAGGGCCTCAATGTCCTTCTTGTAATTAGGGGCCTAAAACCAACACAGGATTTGAGGTGTAGCCTCACCAGTGCTAAGTACAGGAAGACAATCACTCCCCAAGTCCTGCTTCTCACATTATTGCTGATACATGCCAGGATGCTTGTATGATGTCGTTCAGTACAGTATTAAACCCGCATTAGTACTAAATTTGCAACCCAACTTTGAATAATTTCTCTGCCTTGAACCTTCCCCAACAGTATAAGCTATCTCAAGTACACTCAACCATCTTTATAGCATCCACTACAAATGTAAAACCAAGATGAGTTACATCAAGCCAGATGAAATGGTCATCAAGCCCCACTGGAATTACACTGCTTCCAACAGTGATCAAAAGCTGATATTTATGCAACAATATAAAAAAAGACAAGCATATGTATTATTCTCCTCTTCTGTACTCCCAAGGCTCTGAATGCTGATGGTTAAGACACTTAATGACTTGGAATTGTTTCTAGAAGGTGGATCCTATTTTCACAGATACTTACCAAGAGCATTCATCCTGGCATTGAACTGCTCCAGTTTTGTGCAGCCCGTGAAGACATTCTCAGCAAGGGATGAAATATTGTTCTTACTAATGTTTAAAATTTTCAGTTCTTTCAAGCATAGGGGTGAACATAGGCATGAAATTTTGTTTCTATAATAACAAGAAGAAAAAAAAAAACAACTTGTTTTTTTCAGAAACAGAAAGTAGAAGGGTATGGATCTGAAAACACCATCCTTACTTTGGTAAACAAAAAATGAGACTTTTATCTATATAAAGACTGACCAGTCAGCAAAAATACTGATATATGTGGAAACGGAATAACATGACTGATATTATGACAGTTTAAATCATTTGGAGAGCAAATGTCAGAATGTGCTACAAAGTGTCATTTCCTGATTCCATACTGCAGCTCAGTCTCACAGCAAGGACTGCTGCTTCTGTGATTAGTTCCATTTACTAAAGATGTGTGTTTGCAGGATTCTAATCACAGAATTATTCTCAAACAAACAAACAAAAAGAATGGAATTCCATATAGGAGATACAATTCAGGATGAGTATGTAATGTTACAAACACTGTAGTCTGGGAAGAACACCACCAGAAAGAGACAAAGATCCTCAAAATACAGAGGTAAAAGAACCATGCAGCACGGTTTTTCAAGGGTAATATTGCTAATGAAGTTCAAAATAAAGCTAATGAAGAAATGCAACAGGATTTTGAATTTAAAACATTGCTTTTGTAGGTTTGATTCACATGATATATGTGTTGCTACTTTTACTCTGCATCAACTTCTGTGTAAAAAATATCACCATCTCATTTAAAATACGTTACAGTGGATGAATGAGACAGTAGCTGCAGTTCACAGAGCTATCAATAACAGCAGTTTTGTAGGGGTGCAAATTATCTCACTCACAAACAAATAGGATAAAAAGTGCTGGTAAACAAAAAATTACATATTTCCTTGCTTCTGTAATTTAAAACATACCCATACCAATAAATACAGTTCCACAAATCACACCTCCAGAAAACCTTTGGTGAATGTGAAATACAGTTGAAATGGTTCTGTATACAGAAAGTCTAGCTGAATATGTTAGACAGCACAGACAATCCCCTGGATGAATAGCATGGCAGTAGAAAAAATGCTGAACTACAACATTTTTAGTATGTTACTGAAACTGCAGTGCTATTACATTTGATCTAGACCCACAGAGAGTCTCATCTACCGTGTAATAAAACACTGAAAATTGTAGCAATTTACACATTTGGATGATAATGTCAGTGTTTCACCACTGATTAAACAATCCTTTCCGTGCTATAACCATCATTATTCTGGATGACAAATACATTATTTTCTGTTGGTTTTGTTATGCTACAGTCCATTTACCCCACTCACCCTTCTAGCAATAGCTGTTCCAGATTTTCAGCAACATTTGTAAGAAATTCAGGAGTGCACACCAACTGATTGTATGAAAGATTAAGTTGCTTTAGAGTTGGACATCTGAGGTGCGGATCCAAAGAAAAGGAAGGTCCAATGTCATTTCGAGAGATATCAAGATTTGCAATACAATTCATTTTCAGTAAATAAGTAGGAAAAGAAGTAAATCGGTTACTGTGCAAATCCAGGTAAGTCAAGCATTTCAAGTTCTGAAAGAAAAGGATAATTTGTTTTTTAAAAGATAAATGAAAATAGAAATGCATAGGTTTCAAAGTAAGTTATATTTTAAGCAATGTATTAATTTACTTACATTTCTCTCATTAGAAAAAGTAGCAGAAAATAGCAATCATACCAATGTAATCCACAATATTTCTATTACAGAATAAAATATAAAGCATTCTTCAAAATTCATTACCCCACTTTTACAGTTGAACAGGTAAGAATTGCCTTCAGTTCCTGGTTCCATTTACATTATTATGTTACTCAATATAACATATCCTAAAGCAGTTCTCTGCAGTAAATTACTTACAACTGTTCAATGAAAACACTTTTACTTCTGGCTGAACATAAATCCACTACATGAAAATTGAGTGAACATATGAAGCATACAAAAATATACACCCAAACGAATGAGTTCTATTCTTATGGGTACATTGTTAGAGACAAACAATTTATTGTAACTAATCTCAACTAGTATTACATAAAAATGTGCAGAATCACCTCACACAGTTCTTCTGGAATGTTTGTAAGAGCATTTTGGTGGAGCTCCAGTTTCTCAAGATGTTCCAGATGACTAGTTAAGCAGCTATTCTGGCTGATGGCATCAATGCTCTCCAGCTCATTTGATGAAAGATCTAGTGATTTAATATATTCTTTCTCTGAGATCAATGAAGAAAGACTGTCTGATGGTTTTATATATGGTGAAAATTTTGAGATGCCTTCTATTAAAACAAAAAAATGGGAAAAAAAGTGTGATTTCATTTATCATGTAATGAAAATTAAGATAAATCAACTTGGGACCTAATACGCACAAGACAGTATATGTTGGGATACTAGTTAAGATTCAAATCCATGAAGACTTATACTAAGAGAGAGAAATTTATAATACAGTAGGGAAGATATGGACACTTACGCACTGCACAACAGAAGAAGCTTTTAAAAGTTAGCAAGGGAACTACTGATGAAATGTTTAATTCTACATAAATTATTTTTGAAGCCCAGGAAAAAAATAATTCCCTATATATGCATTCCTTGTAATCCACTGTAGTATTTCCAAAATATATCACCTTTCCAAACAAATACAAAATCTGACTAAAATCTTTTCATGGTATGCTTTTGAAAGCATTACGGACGAAAAATATATGTTAATATATGTTAAATTGGATAGCTTACTTACTAGGGGATTCATCTGAAGGCAAGACTTTTTTTCTTTGTTTCATTAATGGTTCATAATCTGAGCCAGGTCCCTGGAAAAATGACAGAAAAATGAAAAACAGTTATGGACATAGAGAGATATCCGAAACTATCCGAGTTCTGTGAATTTATTTTTATTGTGGTTGCTTTTTATCAGAAGTTCCAGGGGGAACAGAGAAAAACTTGACTTTTCAACTAAAAATACCAACAGGTTACATCTATATAAAACTTACTGATCCATGCAACATGAAAGAACAGTAGATTTAAAATGCAATGGAAGTGGTGTGGTTTTTTGGCAACTTAAAATTACTTTCACTAGCATGGGGTGGTAGGATGGAGCAGGATATTACAAAAATTAACCTTCCCTAGGGAAACCAGTCTCTCCAATTTCTCTTTACAATCAAGGAAAGACACAAGCTCATTTCAAAGAAACCTGACTCTGATTTGTCCTCTTAGTCTTATGGAATTGGGTCTCTCCTCATTGATCACAGTAGCACCCTGAAGATCAGCTTCACTAAGAAGCAGTTTAGTCTTTGTGAAAAGGCCCAGAGTTTCTATATCTGCATTTGAACATCAGAATGGAAGTGTGAGCAATTCACAAGAATGTGTATTTTTTATTGATCAAAAACTTTTGGTGAAATAAACACCCATCAGTACAATGATCTGGAGCACAGTGATTACACAGCAATAAAGGGAAATATTAAATGGCAACAGTGAGAAAAGAGCTCATATGGCTCCTAATGCCTGATTATTAACAGCTTTGCTGTGGGGAACACAGAGGGACTTGTAAGAAGCTTGGAATGAATAAGGATGTGACTTACCACAGAGTAGGAATGTCGTGGCAAAGTAGGAGAACCTCTTTGAAATGCCATTTCCCTACAATATAAATCAGCAACTGCAATGGAATTGGACTTCTGTTTTTTCAAAAGTAAACCTTCATTTCCTAGTACAAAACAATAACACAGGAGGACAACTAAATAAGAAAATGTCTTTGAAAATGAGGCTCAGAATTCAACTGTTACATGGATGCTGACATATAAAGGACAGATACATTTCAAAAACCTCAATATTGGCAGGATCTCACTGGTCAAATCTGTGTGCAATAGGCCAAGAGTCAACATATTTTAGAGTACATGGGCCACACTAAGCTGACATGCTCCAAATATGACCTGCAGCTTGTTACATTGATACATTTAAAAATTCCAGCAAGTTGGCATTATTATACGTTTCTTAACACATCTTTGTGCTACTGCAGTGTAAATACCTTTCTATAGAAAAGGTTTGTATTTTAATAGATAAATTTGCACTCCCACACTTCTTGAGAATGAAACATCAAATGTCACTTGAGCTTTGGTGATTTAGGGTTATCAGACCCATTTAGTGTTCCTGTTCTTAAAAGCTACTTTTAAATCTCCTAAAATCAATCTTCTTAGAAAAGCCTGTATATTTTTAACCAAAATTTACATGAATCAGCAACTTTTCTATGTGAGACAACAAGGAATACCTAATATATACCTGTGTTACAATCCTACAGAAATGAAAACTGTGCAGAAGGATGTAAAGGAAAAGAGCAAAACAGAACAACAAAAAAAAACCCTTAGGATTCTGTAAGTCCAAAATTAAAATCCTTTGTAATATCCAACAATTTTAAAACAACAGTGACAGCTGAACAAAGAAAAGGCACATTGTAAATTAAGGCCACTGGCTCTTACTATTAAGTTTCCAATATTATAGACAGAAATGTTGTTTTTTGTAAGTTAAAGGCATTCAGATTTCCTGACATGGTTACCAAGACATGGTTACCATGGTTATCAAGACATGGTTACCATGGTTCCTACTGAACACAGACTTGTCATTGACACTTTCTGATCAATTAGGTATCCTTGGGACAAGGCTTGTTTCACCTACCTTATTTGTCAACAATTAAGTCTTCTATACCAGACTGAGCTGTGGGCATTTTATTTGCAGATAGCCCAGGAAACAGGGATTTCTAGATTACAATACACCTGACTTCACAAATGAGACAAATTCTGCTCTTGAAGCACTTGGTTTTTGCTATTGGCTAGAAAAGCAGCACACGAGAATAGCTCAGACTAAGACATGAAAATATTCAATATCTAAATCTGGATGAATCCCACGCTTTCTCTCTACAAGAAAATGAACGCATGAAGAACTAATTTTAAATGTCTTAAGTCCTAATTTAGTAGATAAAGACATACTTACTCATTTTTCAATGTTACCAAAAATCAGAATTTTAGATAAAAGGTGTTGTTTTTTTTTCTAATCGGAAGCGTTTTATCTCAAAAACAAATAACTGATTTATGGCTATAGTCTAACCCTGGTACATTAGATTGAGATTATAAAATTAAATTTAAAAAACCCAACAATTACCTTCACTATCAATATCATCACTCAAAGGAAATATGCTCTCCACTAATGGATCAGAAATGAAATCCCAGTCATAGTTTTTATCCACTCCATCTTCAGAGAAGTTTAGATCAGAGGAGGCTCTTGATCTATCCTCTGAAGTATTCTTCATCTGGAATTTAAGCACCATTCTTGCCAGTGCAGAACCTGCATCTGTAAGTATAAAAAACCAAAAAGGTAGCATATTCTCCAAGAACACCAAATAGCTTTTAAAAAAGTCAACAGAAATAACTATTTAATTTCAAGGTTTGACAGTTGTTCTATAACCAGCTCAGTTCTCTGAAGAGATCCTCAACTGAAGGTTTTGATGTAAAACACATATAGTACCATCACAAGATTTTAACACATTTTGTATAGCAAATTCTATATATACTCACTTTGTTTTCTTACTGGAGTAAGTTTATCTGGGAACAAAGGAATGAGCCAAGAAGGTTCTAGTCTCCCAATACCAAATCCTCCAAGACATATACTGCTGTTGGCAACATCAAGGCTAAGCCTCTTCAAGAGCAAGCTGATGATTTGGCTATCTCCTTTCTTTATACTGATGGTTAAAGCACTCCGAACATCCTGCTCTCGAGCACCACTGGCTAATAGCAATTCCACCAATTTAGGATTATTTCCTTTCTCACAAACCTAAAAGGGAAAAGTAATTAAAAACAAATCATGTGAGGCACTCAAACAACAAGTCCTACTGCATTGAGAGACTTGTCTCCTATTCAGATTCATTGTACTTTTAGGATCATGTCTCTTTTTCAATTACATAATTCCGTACCTCTCAGAGCATATGCCTACCTAAGGCACCTGAGTGCCAACTCCCATTTTCCTAAGCTTTCCCAAAATATAACAAACACCTGAGTTCTGTAATTGTAATTTCTACCAGGAGTAGAAATTTCTACCGTTGATGCCTGTTCATCTGATACACAGATAACATGGCGAAATAACATCTAATTCTTTTTTCCATTGTAGAGATAAATCAGTGGAGTTGCCACAAACTCACCTGCTCTGCCAGCAGAAGTGAATAGTTACTAATTCACTTCAGGTAGTACTGGTGGGGTTTAAAACACTGAAGCAAAGATTAAGAAAGGCTCATAAAGACTGTTTCTCAAAACAATTTTTAAAGGCAGTCACATTTAGTCCTTATAGGTAGGTGGACAGCCTCTCTCTGTTGGCATGGCTGAACCAGATGGGATGTTTGCCTATGTCCTTATTTCAGACACCAACATATTTCAAGTAGTTAATCCTCTGGATGTGGCCACTGTCTGGATAAAGCTCTTTTCAGCCAGTGTGACTGCAGCCATTCCAAGGTGTTTTATTACTTTAGCTGTGTTGATAAAAAGTCAGAACTTTAGCCAGAATGTTTAAATCAGCACAAAACCTAATGAGTATATTCATCTTTAAGTCCAACACAAAGTAAAAAAAAAATAAATTCCACCATTCCAGGGGAGCATTTTTAGCAAACTCTGCAGGTCTATAACAGAGTGGGACTAAGTGCAGTGAAATCTATCTGTGTACAGTGCTGCCTGCTGGTGCATCTGTACTTTGGCAAAGAAAGAGCTGAATTCAGAATACCAGCTCATAGACCTGGGTTCTAATGGGCCATCTATGCCTCATTAGTTCTGAAAAAATGACTGGGAGCTTGCAAAGCTTGAGCTTAAGTGTTCTTCCTCAAAAATACTCCAAAGCTAAGTCAGTATTTGAATGAATCCAGGTTTGCATGTGAACAGGATAAACAATAGGAAAGCATGGACTTTACAGTGAACTTGCATCAGAATGGAACTGGCAGTGTGGACACATTCTAGGTGACAGGGACCCTGTGAGCTTTAATGAAGTGAAAGGTGTTTCAGTGAACACCAGACTGAGCCTGAAATCACCATGAGTAGCAATGGTTAACATTACTTAGGTTACAGTCAGATTACACAGGACATGTTCTGCCAATGGCTGTGTTCTGCCAAGTATATGTTTACATGAAATGAGAAAGGAACCCAAAAGCACAAATCTTAAAGCAATAAAATTATGTATTTTCACATATTACCTGATAGATCAAAGAATTGGTCTTTGTCTTCTTATTAATATCAGCTCCCAGTAGAAGCAAACATTCAGCCATAATACTATTGTACTCAATACATGCTTTTTCCAGCATCAGATTTTTTAAATCATCATTTTCAGCTATTTTAGCAAAACATTTACAACACAGGCTTTGAAACTGAATGGGAAGACAAACAATCAAAGTTAGGACAAAAGAAGCATGAACATTTTTCAACTGAGGAGCTGTCAAAAGAGGGAAGATACCTGTCGATCTCGCTGGTCAGTGAAACACATAGACATCTGGTAGAAAATGACTGTGTCAAATGACTCATGTACCAGTAGCTTTGCAAAACAAGGTGACAAATCAAGAATTGACAAGATTGCATGAAATCCCTAGAACACAATGAGAAGATTGAAATAGGTAGTGTTAAAAAGTGTCATTTAAAAACGGGTCATGCAACAAAATAAAATTTCAACCAAAAGATAGGTGCATTAAGTGTTGTTTTTTTTCTTGCTTTTAAACATGGAATAATTCATAAATTGGAGAAGATGAAAAGCCAAATTGTGCACCATAATATCTAACAACATCCTGCCTGGTAGTGACAAATATACTTGTGATTTCCTGGAAACACGGAGAGGAAACAATCTCTTTCTAAGGATATGGGATGAAGATACATCCCCTGTCCCAGTGTGTTGCTCTGTAATCCTTGAATTTGAAAAAAATACATAGGTTAAACAAAATATTTAACAAGTGCACCTAAAACCTAAAAAGAAATAGAAAACTATTACCTCATGATTCTGCAAGCAAAGTTCACCCAGAAGGCTGAACTGGGTAAATTACAGACTCTTTGTCCAAACCTAATTGAGATTAAATCACTTAACTTCTTTATTTCATCACATTGCTTTGATTTCTCTCTGTACTGGTTGCTAAGCTAAACTTGGTAGGGTTGGAGGAAAAACAGCAGTAAAGAAGAGAGGCTGTACTGGTGATATTTCCATATTAATCTGAAACAGAAGTACAGAAACTCTCACAGAAAGCTGATCTCACAGGCAAGCTCCACTCCTGTATGAAATGAAATTGGGAACAAACAGGGAAAGGTTCTAAAGCAGAGGAAACAGAACTTTCACACAAGGAGGACTGAACACGTTTACAGATAGAGTAAGAACTCTCCATCCAGTTGGAAGTAGATCCAAAGTCTGACAGAGTATTCCAGTAATATCCTTCTTAAATACAGCATTCCTACACTAAGCTTAGTGCTAGTGAACTGGGCTAGGAACTAAGTTATTTTCTTTTACTTTTCAATCAATACTATAATGATGGTTACTTCATTAAATGGTTATAGACTGACTGAATGATGGACCATGACTTGAAAATTTTTTTCTAGTCTGCAGATCTCAGAAGCATTAGACAAATACCTAAACATATGCTTATGTATTCTGGATTGAATATATGCCTCCAAGAAAACCATCTCTATGGCAATCATACTGGTTTAATTTTAAAGGCTTATACTAATCTAATAATTGCAATAAAATAAAAATGAAGTAACTAAAATACAGACTTATACTTCCAATATAGCTATGTTAAAATAATTTTCTAAAATGTTGCCTTTCATTTCCATCTTTGCATGTTGAAATAACACATACGTGCATCTGGATTTCAGTGACCTCTTTAAATCGTCGCAGGGTAGAAACCAGAACAGTTGACAGAACATGCATAGTTGCAATACACAAACTCCTCCTTGTAATCAAAGAGCGTAGAAGACTTAAACCTAAACACTGTATGTCTAGAAGAAAAAAAGAAAAATTGCGAATTATGATTATTCAGGCATTCTGAGTGGAATAAACACATGTTCTAAGTAGTGGCATATTCCTAACATTCCACAAAGTTATTTGCATAAGCTATTACAGGGGTAGGCACAACCAGAAAGTGGATGAACCTGAGGATTATGCAGTACTGCAGCCTTTTCTTGCCATTTAACCTACATCCCCTCCAGTACTTAAAAGTGTAATACACAGGTTACATCTCCTGTGGTGAATCAACTCCTCCTATTACATCACTCACATTTAAGAACACAATACCTTCCCTACCTTGTTCATCTGGATACATCTGTAGGGTGTGAAGCACAGTGTCAGTAGCTCCTTGCTGGGTTAAAATTTCTAGTGCACCAGTGCACTCACAGACAGAACCAAGTAGTTTTAATCCACACTTCTGAATGCTAGGATTTCCAATAAACTAATGGAAAAAAGAATATAAAATCAAATCAAGTTTGTTCTGCATATTCATGAAGGTGACCTGCTATGTATTCTTTAAACTGAATTCATACCCATTTTCAGAATGGTTTGGGTTGGAAGGGACCTTAAAGATCATCTAGTTCCAATCTCCCTGCATGGGCAGGGACACCTGCTAGAACAGGTTGGTCAAAGCCCCATCCAATCTGGCCTTGAACACTTTCAGGGAGGGGGCATCCACAGCCTCCTTGGGCAACCTATAACCTCAACAGCAAAGAGGCTTTTTCTTAAGGTCGTTCTCCAAGAACAAGAAATTGTTGCTCTTAAAGTATGTGCAATTACAGCTGGCACAAGTGATAAACATGGTGGCAACTAAAAAAGCTATGAAAAGAAAAAGATATGAAGCAACATACATATTACCACACCCTATAAAGATGTAAATTTTAGTTATATAGCTATTCAATAGGTTGATTCGGATTATTTTTCCCAATTTCCCACCCCTTCTAGAGGGAGGAAACCTAGATGAGATGAAGATCTTAAAGTGTGCATATCTGTCATAGTGACTTGCAAATTTGCAAAACTATTTCAGTGGAGTCATGTCCATCTTCCTCTTTATTCCATTTATAGTTTTTCATTAAAATATGTTAATTTCTAGCCCTTCTGGCTGATACTGTAGTACCTCAAAACACAACCCAGCTAGATCAGAAAAAGCAGTCAGGATGGTCACAAAGCACTGGAGATTCTGATGCACTCTGAAGTAATGATTACTTTGCCTCCCTTGTTAACTCCAATATCCTGTATCTTCAGGTCAATACATGTCTTTTAGACACTCTGGAACTCTCTTGCTGATATATTATTTGCCCTGACTTTTATAATAAATGCAAGAGAGACACATTTCCTTGACTGAAGGTGAAAGATCATCTAGTTCCAATCTCCCTGCATGGGCAGGGACACCTGCTAGAACAGGTTGGTCAAAGCCCCATCCAATCTGGCCTTGAACACTTTCAGGGAGGGGGCATCCACAGCCTCCTTGGGCAACCTATAACCTCAACAGCAAAGAGGCTTTTTCTTAAGGTCGTTCTCCAAGAACAAGAAATTGTTGCTCTTAAAGTATGTGCAATTACAGCTGGCACAAGTGATAAACATGGTGGCAACTAAAAAAGCTATGAAAAGAAAAAGATATGAAGCAACATACATATTACCACACCCTATAAAGATGTAAATTTTAGTTATATAGCTATTCAATAGGTTGATTCGGATTATTTTTCCCAATTTCCCACCCCTTCTAGAGGGAGGAAACCTAGATGAGATGAAGATCTTAAAGTGTGCATATCTGTCATAGTGACTTGCAAATTTGCAAAACTATTTCAGTGGAGTCATGTCCATCTTCCTCTTTATTCCATTTATAGTTTTTCATTAAAATATGTTAATTTCTAGCCCTTCTGGCTGATACTGTAGTACCTCAAAACACAACCCAGCTAGATCAGAAAAAGCAGTCAGGATGGTCACAAAGCACTGGAGATTCTGATGCACTCTGAAGTAATGATTACTTTGCCTCCCTTGTTAACTCCAATATCCTGTATCTTCAGGTCAATACATGTCTTTTAGACACTCTGGAACTCTCTTGCTGATATATTATTTGCCCTGACTTTTATAATAAATGCAAGAGAGACACATTTCCTTGACTGAAGGTGATTGGCAAGCCTAAAATTGCTGAGAGACTTCTAAAAAATTTCTAAAAAACCTCGTAGAGGTAGAATTTTTCTGAAGGCCATGAAGTTAAATGTTTCTTATTACTAGGATTTAAGGTGTGCAAAGTGCCTAGTTCTTTCTTTGTTTAGACTGGGTCTCCTTCAGCCTTCACTTTTCAGCTTCCCCTTTGAGGTAGTGATCATTCTGTTTTCCAGTGGCTGGAAAGTTACAAAATTGAACAGTCAAAAGAGTGGAGACAACTGAAAAACTATGTTCTGTTGAAAGCAAAGGCATGTGAATCCATGAAAACCATAGTAAAGAACCACTCAGTTCTATGCGCAGTTGAGGTGTAGGTATGAGGACACTTTCCATCTATAAACTAGTCCATTAAATAATATAAATAATCTCTATGCTTGAAAGAAAAATAGCCTTGATTTTATAAATATCATTTAGAGTTATTGTGTAAAGGATCATCAAATACATGCCAGAAGAGAAAGTAATAAGAAACCCCAAATGATAAATTAAATGCAAGATTTATCTAATCAACAGGAAAATCAATGTGTAACTAAGACATACAAATTATTCACCATCACAAGTCTAAAATAGTGACAAAATTAATTAGAATAAAGCTTTAACTATACCCTGTTCAAAGCATTAAGCACCAACGAATGAGTTCCCTCCAAAAGACACTGGCTTTTAATGACTTTGACTGTAAGCACAAAAGCAGCATCTCCCACATCTCTGGAAGAACCATTCTGGTCATTCTTTGTATCTGCAACAATGGAAAACAGCCTTTACCTCAGAACAAGAAATGTAATACTCCCCTCAATATTAACCAAATACTATTAACACAGTATAACAAAAAAATTGGCACTTGCAGTCAAGTGGCACTACAGGAAGTACCCAGAAATCCTTTAGAAGTCACTTCAGGCATGCCTACTTGTTCCAATCATTTTTAAATCCCTAATTAACCTGCAAGTTCAAACATCCAGCTGGTGCTGTTTTTTATTACACCTCAGAAGGGCCTCACTTCCACGATACTGGCAGGCTACTAGTTTCAGAGTTACTGGTTTTGTAAATGTTCAGCTATAACTGCTATAACTGCAAAAACTTGTTCTGGAAAAAATCAGTGCCCCATGTCTGTACTCACACTTAATATCACAGGAAAAAAACAGGGTGTATAGCAGTAAACAGATAAAAAGACTTGAAACTTTCCCAAATTTTATTAAAGGTCTAGAACTAACAAAGAACATCTTTTTTCCACTGCAGATTGCTGTTAAATAATGTTTTTTTGGAAAGGAATTTCTAATCTAGTTAGTTTGGCTTCCCCTTTATCTAGAAAATAGTAGATAGTAGTGTATTTCATATATTTAAATCTTGATTTTTTGGTGCCAGAAGCCAAATTTTTATGCTTCTTTCAAGAGATGCTATTAAAACAATTGCATGTTGTGGTACAATAACACTGGTGTAATTATCATTGTTCACTCTCACTTAAAGGTATCTGTGGTGAAAAACCACACTTACAGCAATAGCTCCACTCAGTGCTAATTCCTTAGAAGTAACAGAGATAACTCTTCACTGATAAAATAAACGGAAATCAGCAGCGGTAATTCTGGTCTGTTACCTTCAATACCTGAAAGTTCTCTTCCATCTTACATGTTCTTAGAAAGTTACAACTTCTCTCTGTTATGTACAGAACTCCAGGAAGTTTTTTGAAGTCCCATTAAAGGTTGTCTCACTAGTTATGAAAGACTAAAACCCAGCTACCTAGTTCTATTACCTGATTTGCTGTATGATGCCACAGTGATTATATTTTTGGATGACTTACCAGGCATCGTAAAGTGTAAAAGGACTCTAAGTCCTTCCAGTTGTACAGATAGTGATTTTTCATGTTTCCTCATGGCTTTTACAACTTCTGAGGCAGCTACTGTCATTATATCCAGATGAGGGAAACTGAAAATATTTATAAAATAAACAAAAAGAATGCATTTCTAAGTTTTATATGTATTCTCTGCCTTAATTAACACTGTGAAAACTCTTTAGAATACTGTAAATCTGGTTTGAGCTATGAGATATAATTTAAACTGTGATAATTTTCTTCATTATAGCAAGTATATTATTTTCATGTTATTCCATAAACTCAGTCTATGTAACTAATTCCATTGTAGACTAATGAGAGATAATTTTCATTCACTCCAGTCCAGAATAGTGATACACAGAGAGCATAGTATTTAAATATTTTCTTCTTTCATTTTATAGTACATTTTATTCCTGTGAACATGTTTATGGAAGTTTTAAGATCTTCTTCTTTATAAAATAAAGTATTTGTAAGAAATTCTGTGGCTATATCTTGAGTCTGTAATTTTTTCACAGACAGCTTAGCATATATAAATGTTCCAGGAAAGGTTGGAAAAACTTTGCAAGACACTTAGAAAAATGTTTTCTCACTGTATACCAGTATTTATCACAGAATGGTAGGGGTTGGAAGGGACATCTGGAGATCATCCAGTCGAACTCCCCTACTAGAGAAGGATCACCTAAAGCAGATTACACAGGAACACATCCAGATGGGCTTCAAATGGCTCCAGTCACAAGTTTGCTTTTCAGTCATGTTCTAGAGCATATCCAAATTCCAACATGAAATTAATACTAACAGAATGTTACATTAATAATCAGAGCTAATATTGTGGTAAGTTCCTTAGCTCTCAATGGAATTCAGCATGGCTACTGCTCAAGAACCACAAGAGGGAGAACATGCAGCTCCCTACATGTATCCACCTGGGCATTTGACTACAGGGCATACAAAAATTCAATGTCTTGAACAGAGCTGTCAACCTGTGGTCAATTTTAATACCAGAGTAACAGCCAATAATTTAAATGCAATCAGGTACAGCACTGAATCTCACAAACCTTCACTTTGGAAGTGGCCATGTATTTCTAAGTATATTACCTTCCTTCAAACACATGATTCAGAATTCTGCAGGCACTTTCTGCCACTTCAGGAGAATGTGGATGTTTCCTCATTATGTCCAAAACATTCATATGTATTCCTTTAGCCAAAAGCGTCTTCCTAATATTCACTACAACACAAAATATTAAGCATCCTGTAAGTAAATCTCTCTTTTTACGTATAGTTCTCAGAAATAACAAAACTGCTTTTTTTGCCCCTTATTTTAATTTTTTGTTCCTCATGTAACCCAGATGTTATAGAAGTATAAATTAGAATGGGAGACAATTGCTGACTTCTGTTTGCACAGCTTAATGAAAAGCATTACAATTCCTGAATGCCTATTAGGTTTGAATACATCTGCTATTTGTATTTACATGGACTTAAGGGAAGGAGAATGTACAGCTTTACTTTTATTTTTAAAAATGTTTATTCTTAAGCAATTTTTCCTCTTAATTGCACTCTGTGATCATGTAGAAAAGCTAGAACTTAAAACTTTCAAAAAGCCTTCTAACTCCTGAAATAAAGCTTCAAAAATGAAGCTGTGTTTATTTGCTCCATTTACTTAGCCAAAGCAACTTTTAAAACTTCAAATACTCAAGCATATTTATATAACTGCAACCAATATAGCTCAGAGAACTGTAAAAATAGTCTATATTACCATGGTGACTGTGCCAATTCTTGTCATCCTCGGTTCAGTACATCCATTTAAAATGTTAATGGAAGTAATAGTGCATTGTGCCAGATGGTTTTGCTAAGCTCTTTATGTCTATAATTTCTGGTGTAAGCACATTCATTATTATTTTTTTTTAATGGCTTTAAATTTCTCTAATCAGAGGCCCACTTATCAGTAACGTGTTATGAAAATAACTGGTATACTATACAGTCACAGTAGGCATCTATTTACGAGATCTATTTCTCGACATACACACATTTCTCTTATAAATAACTAGAAAATCTTTTCAGTGTTAGGTTTTATGTATTTGGATAGCTTAGTAACCTAGTGATAAAACAATGCTTTCTCACCTAGAGAATGGTAATTAACTGCTAGTCTTTATCCTCCTAACTAGCCAGTGGTTTTCCATGTGCAGTCTACAAACCACCTGAGGTCCATAACAATTTCAAAAAGGTTCTGGGAAAGGTATTTAATAAAAGCAGGCCAACTGTCAGTAGGTTTAAACACTCTACCCAGGGGTCCACATCTCCACTGAAAAATTTTGAGGGGGTCTGCAAACTGAAAAAAGTTAGGAAACCATGTTAGGGACACAATCAGGACTAAAGCAATCTTGAAAACTCTTACGCACATGCTTAACTTTCTATACATGATTTGCTTCACTGAAGTCAATGGGACTGCTCTAATCCCCTGTGTTAAGCAAGAAAATGGTATTTGTCAGCCTGTAATCCTTGCTCACATGATTTTTCAACAAGTGCTGCTCTTGATGAAAGTCAAGCATGCTAAATATTTAAACAAGCATACCAAGAGAAGACACTCTTTTCACATCTCCTGCTCCGAAAAATAGCAATTGCAACACTCAAACTGGCAAAGAGCTTTTTACTTCCCTGTACTTTCTTTGATACTAGCCAAGAATGGCTTTTTCAAAGCAAGGTATAAAATTCCAATCAAACACAACTCCAACAGAGAGCATTGTACCCATATAACAGCACACTAAATATTATTTAATACTACAGCAGCAGCTTTCTGCTGAATTGGAAAGTAAAGATAACTAAATTCACTTACCATTTTGTTGTGACAAAACTGCCAAGGTACTAGCAGCTGCCTGAAACACTTCTTTGGAAGAGGAGTGCATCAGCATGGAAAGCATCACTGCTCTGTCTATTGGGAACCTTTCACAGAGAGAAACAAATCACTGCACATTGACTGTATTACGGCAGTTACTTCATCACCGTAGTTCAGTTTCCTAAATAGGTATTAAGTGACACAATGACGTTTTCAGCTGATTGTACTTGACTTCTAATATTTTTCCAGAGCAACAGATGACAGAAAGTCCTTTGTAAACTATGTCTATTAGCCTACTTTGAATCTCTCTACATTTTCTTGAAACCATGCTTTCCAAGCGGCTTGAGGTCCAGAAAGGGATAGAAAGCAGGCTTACTAAAATGTGAATTACTAAAATACTATGCAGCTCTGAGAAACAGTTTAAGTAAAATGGAAGTCTTTGTCTTACCCTAGATTCTCCTTGATGAGGTAGCACCCCCTCGACTATGCCCTTTAATTTGTGGGAAAATGAGCACTGTTTTTCCATACTGCTTATATACTAGATTATCTTAATCTTCCTAGAATCATAGAAAGCCAGGAAAGAAGGGACCTCAGGAATCATCTGGTCCAAGCTTTCCTGGAAAAAGCATGGTCTAGACAACAAGGCCCAGCACCTCTTAAGCAGAAACTTGAAAGTGTCCGATGTTGGGGAATCCTCCACTTCCCTTGGGAGACATTCCACTGGCTGATTGTTCCCATTGTGAAAAATTATTCCCTACTCTTATATTCTCTATTTGTCCCTATTCTTTTTGCAACTGAAGAAGAAATTCTTTGTGAACTGTAAAAATTAGCTCTATTAGGCTGTGTTCTGATCCTTTCTTAAAACACTACCAGATTTGCGTGAATCAAAGTTAGCACACTTAAAGAAAGGAACTTTCCCAAGTGTTGTTGATAACCATGCATTTAATAATATATTAGAAAACAAGAAAGAAATTTAAAAGAATTGAAGCGTGAGATCCCAAACAGCCTAACAGTAGGCTTCCAATTTCCAAAAATTATTAAAAGATATTAACACTCACTGATTATCTCCATCTCCAATCTTCTCATGAAGGTTCTGTTGATACAGAAACAGATTTTTCAAAGCCCAGCATGCAGCCTCCTAAATATAAACCAAGAGGAGACAAAAGTATTAAATGCCTTTAGAGTATCAAAAATATATGAAAAAAAATTAAATAGCTTGACTCTTTTTCAGTTAATCACAAAAGTACAAGATGCTTTATGTAGAAATACAACAAGGTGCAAAGATCCTAAAGGTCTTTTCCAGCCTTGGCAATTCTGTGATTCTGTGCAGGTGTGGATGGTCACACTTTATAGCTGGGATAGGTCTGAGTTACAAACACATGCCACATACTAATTTGATTTGCATTTTGATACCTAGTTCAGGTCAAGATTAATTCTTCTGTTGGTGGGCCTGTGTTTTGCTGCTGTATAAAAGGAACTACATAAACAACAGCCTTTGAATTTGTAACCTTTCAGGTTACAAGTCTCATCTTAACTTCCTACATTTGATCCAAAGGAATAACAAAATCAGTGGAGGTGAGCAAAGATAAGAAAGGTAAAGATTTATCCTAAATAGAATTCAGTCCTTAAGGACTGTTTGAACAAGGATATGTGGGAGAAAATTACGTTGCTGGACATTTTATTTAATGCCTCATTCAGTTTTTCCATATCCCCACCATCCCCAAATTCTTACCAGCACATCTGTGTTTTTTTGGTGTAGTTCTAATGCTCTGTAGCATGCTTCCAACCAGCATAACTTCTCTTCCTTCTCCTCTTCTTTTCTTTCCTCTAAGTCTCGGTTTAAGAATATTGTTTCAGCTTGAAATATAAAATATTTCCAATAAATTCTTATTGTGAAAACAAAAACTTATGTCTTTACCTTCAGTGGTATTATTAGCCTCTTCTGGGAAGGGACAAGTATTTAAAATAAACTTTATGGCAGATTTGAACAACGTCTTTAAGATTATAAAGGGACTAAAAGACTTCATCATAGTGTAGTAAGTTAGGTACATAGTTACAAATCAGTCAATGCTCAGGCTCTGAAAACACCTGCATATACTTTTTTTGGGGTGTATTTACATACAGAATACCACAGACATAAAATATAACTCATTCATTTGCATGCAACCACCTACCACAGACCCATCCACGCTCTGAAATAGTGCCATTAAAAAACAAAACGCAAATTACAGTTGCTAAGAAATATCCGGTCCCAGAAAATGCAATAGAATTTAAAAGAAAACATTTTATTCCTGTGATTTTTCAGCATTTAAGGAAAAAAATGTATCAACACTGACCATAATACCAGGTTACTGGAGTGCAAACTGATTTTTAGTCTTTGCTATTTTGGGGACTCTAAGACAGCATTTCTGCTGACTTTTGTATGGAACAATTACTCAAAGACTAAGAGGATAGGATCCTTAGTTTTTTGTCACCAGCTAACTAATTCTGTTCCAAAATAATACCTGCAGTGTACTCAGGGAAAAGCTTAAATCTTCTAACTGATTGCAAAACTCAAGCACAAGCATTGATTTGGTGGTGCTATCAACTGCCACACTATGAGTACTGTCATACATGGCAAAGACAGCTTCAAATTAATGTTATCTCGAGAGAATTTATGATAAGAAGGGACTTTCCAATATTTGCCTATGAACAAACAGGCTGCTTTGTGAAAATCTGTCAACATAACTTGCCAACTCTGAACACTGTGAAGATGTGAGGTGTATGATATGACACAGCCATGTCATAGTAAACAAGCTGTAAGCAGGTAGGAAATCAAAGATATCCCACCTGAGGCTTTCATGCTAAAGAAATGGAGTCTGAAAGGATTACAAGAAATTACCAGTATAAAAAAATTAACAAGTGGACAGATAAATGAAGAAATTGATCTATGTATTTAGGAAGGAATTTACTTACTGAGAAGGGCTAAACAACCAAGAGCTGCAGCTTGCAGCTTTGCATTTTCCGGATAGGTTTTAACAGCCTTTACAATGACTTCTGGAACCTTATGTAATACAAGGATATTGTAAAAATTTCCTAAAAATAAAGAAGATATTAAATTAATATAAACACATATCTACAGCTTTACACCATTTAACATAAATTTATCAGCACTCAATGTACAAACTTTGTCTGTAGCAAATGTTGTATTACTGGGCATGACACAACAACATCCTATTTGTAGAAAGAAGAGCTCAAGGATGAAACACAGTTGGGATCTAGGTCCTTTGCTTTTTTATACAACACTGAGGTTTAATGAAAATAAAGTGCACACTGTCATCAAAATAAGACAAATACAGTCAGTACATGACTTGCAGACTTCCTGTTAGGAAGCAAACGTCACTCTGGTCTTGAATTCCTGCCATTATTTGATTCATATTGGTAACTCAGCAGCACCAACTGTTTCTCAAACATTCAGCACTGCCACTTCAAAAATGAAATCTGGAAGGAATTTTCATTTCTACAGTAACTTTCTATAGAACAGAATCTATTTTTTCCCATTCTCATTTTGTGCTTCTCCTACTCTTTTGCCTCATTTTTTCCCCACGCCAGTCTGTTATGGCAGCTTCTGTAATTTTTTTTATGTTTAACACAAAAGGTTACCATACTGACTGTGGCCAGAGTTACCTCAGTGCATTCACATCACTGGAGACATGGAGCTAAACATCACTCTGAGGATTAACTGGATAGCAGTTCTCTTGTTGCTTCTAACATTTGCTGTCAGTTAACTCCAAATCTTGCAGTCAGAGGAAGATGACTATAAATAACTTAGTGAACTTACCCAAAGTAAGCTTATGCAACAAACAGCAACTCACTTCCTGAACTGTTTCACTATTGGGGAAACTTTTCATCATTTCCACTATTACATTGTAGCAGCGAACATTTCCAGACATGAGCACTTCAACATTGCTGGCTGAAGAAAGAAAGAGAAACAAAAATTCCTTCTTAAGAAAAACACTCAAACATGTTGATTTTATTTCAATTCAAACATTATTTAAACAGATTTAAATTAGAAAACTGGGCTTGTGTTTCAGTTTTTGCCTTGCAACTTGAGAGAAAGGTGGCTTTTTTTTCCTTGGTCTTGCCATAGAATACATTAATGACTTCCAATACTTGGCAATATTTCATGAAGTTCAAAGTCCATATGGATCCATCCATTTATGGAGTTGTTCCTTTCTATATCAGGCCACACAACAGAACCCTCCCCAGAAACTACTCTTATGTAACACTTTCCTTAATGCTGAACAAATTGATTTAGAAATACTAATTCAAACTAAAAGTGATGTTTATAATATGATTGTGATTGGGAAACATTTTACAGTATTTCAGTAATATTTCTAGGGGCATAGATTAGGAAACAATTTTGATTTTTTTTTTTCCTAATAAATATTATTTATTTGATTTAATAATGTGTTTCTAAGTTTTCATTCTTTTTCAGGGGGCAAGTTAACAATTTATTCTTTTCATTTAAATCAGTTCTACTGTACACCTGTTGTGTATTGAGAGTACAGAAATGTTCATCTAATGCTCCTGCAATATTTTTATATTAATTGCAAATCTGTATTTCGCAATCTCACAGAACGGTTGAGGTGGGAAGGGACCTCTCTGGACATCATACTGTCTGACCTCCCTGCTCAAGGAGGGCCACCTAAAGCAGGTTGCCAGGACTTACTCTGTAAGTTGCAAAAGCAAGCTCTGAGTGGGAAGCATTTCAGAAGCATTTCTATTTGATAGTGAGGGAAGGCACCTTTCACAGTGCTTTAAGATGACAGATTTATTAAGATCATTTTGAACTAGGTTCTCACAACAACTGATGGAGAGATCTGAGCTCTCCTTACGGTGATTAATTTCACCTGTAACTAACACCTCAGGGTTAGGCACATTTCTTCTTGAGGTGCCTGTTTCATCCCAGAGAAGCCTGGATGACTGCCTATGACTACCATTTAGATGGCTAACATTATGTGACCCATCACCCCTCTCCAGACTTTGGAGGACAGTCAGCAGTAAAATATTTTCTCATTGCTTCAAAACTACTGAGATTTAAAAGAGCTCTTGTGCTGCACATGAATAAACTCTTAACCTTCAGTTTCTCGTGACATAAGAGCTGGAACAAGGTCTAGATATGTATTAGTGAAAGAAGACATACTGGAGCACCAATCCTTGATGTAACTCATTCGGAACAGAGAGTTGAATTTCAGAGTATGGGAGACAAACATTTTACTACTGAGTAAGCTGAAGTGTGTATTTATGTTGAATTACTTTCTTCATGGTGGTCTTAGAGAACACATTTTCTTGCAGCCATTGTGGGATGTCACAGACCAAGAATACAAATGCTGGCAAAAGCAGCCTTGCTTTGTGCATTCGTGCACAAGCTCCCTCTGTGTCTCTGACTGTTTTCAATCTTTCATATCAGAAATGAGAGTGCTAACCCCAAGTAAATACCTACTTTAGAGCAGGTCTTTGTCATGCCCTTCTCTTGTTAGGCTTTGAACAAGTATTTACTATTGTAAAAAGTACTTCAAATTTGTCACACTATTCTTTAGAAAAAGGCAGTAGCTTCTGGGCTGGGGTAATATTGTTTCTGGTTCAAGGAATACTTGAATTTTTAAACACACACTGGAACAGCAAGACTTTGAGAATCAGAAACTTAATAGCTTGGAGTCTGATGAAATGTGGGACAGTCCAGTCTAATTCTTGTTTTGTGTCATACATGAGGCCAGCACAGTTCCTATAGAGCCAGACAGGATGTATGAAAAGGGTGTTGTGAGGAATCCTGTCTGCAAGACTAAAAATTATGCACCTCATGGAAGACATGGAGAGCAGGATGCTGCTCTATGCTTGCCAGAAGTGTGACTACCAGCAGGTAACGGACAAGACCTGCCTCCATGTCTACAAATGGACACAAATACTCAAATACACTTCTCAGGATTTGATTTTGCCCAGACCAGGGACTACTGTTACCAGAAGACTAGACATAATGAAGATAAGTTCTTCCAGTCTTATTGCACAATACATGAGGATACTGTAAGACTGTAATGTCCACAGTGCTGCCAATGCTCCTCACTGCAGCCACCACTGAATGATCAGAGGGAGGTGTCTGAGCCCAGAAACCTTTTCTCAGCCCTGGACACTGGATTTTCATGGGCAACTTTCCCCTTGTGGGAAAATAGTGTTCTTTCACCTGCTACCTAAACTCACTGAAGATTTATTTAATCAATAAATATAGCTTATTTTTGAACCATTAAAAAAGACAGGGTAGGATCTTGAACTTTGACCTCTACAACCATTCTAAGCATCCTCGTTGCCACTTACTCCAAGCAGAAGAAGATATTTTTCTGTTCTTCACAGGAGATTTCACCTTTATCATAATGGCTGAATATGATATTTTTCCCATGACACATTACAAATCAGTATTTCTCAGAGAAAACAGAAAAGTGATTTCTCTTGCAAGTCCCAAACAATTCTCACTGATTTTTGACAATTACTGAAAGTTTGCCACAAACTGAGGTGAACTGACGCAGGCTGTGGGAGATGAGGAATCAAAAATAACTTTCAGTAATGCACTTACATGGACCAGCTAAGGAATGTAACGAGTAAAGCGCAGGAAGAATCACCTCTTCTTTCTCTGGAAACTCTTTAAATACTTTCAGTATGATCATATGATCTTTGCTTTCAACAAATTCAGTCAGCTGCTCTTCTGGAACTAAATTGAAAAGCAAGAGAGATACAGTATGTTTGGAGGAAATAATCCACATCCTAGTACAATACGAGAAAAGATAATTGTTTCTATCATTTCTATCAATTATTTTCTGTGGTTCAGAGAAGGTACCCTCCATGCAAATAATCTTCCACAGTTATTACTCTTTTTACTAAAAACTGAACTACTTTATAAAGACCTTTTTCTAGCCTACACTTTATCCAAATAAGTTTTAAATGATTCCCTGTGAACCAGTATTTTTAAAAAAGTCTTTTAGTCTTTTCCACAGAATGAACTTCAGATATTCCTGACCAAGGAAGTACATAAGTGGAGTAAATGTTAAGCACACAGTGAGAACAATTTGATAGAATGCTGTTTTGTACACTCCATGATTTTATTTTACTTCTCAAGGTTTTTTTTTATAATGGAGTTCCTTCCACAAAGACTACAGCCATGCTTTAATAATATCTTACCTTCATTTTAATAATAGCTTAAGGTTTTTCCATCCCTGCCTCCTGTAATTTGTGCTGACATAACTGCATGGCTGTGCAATGAACCAGTTAAGGCTACTGATCCAGGCTGAGAAAGAGCAACTCATTTTAATTTTTGTAAGAAGAAACATTTTCTGAATCTTGTTCAAGCTAAGGCTAGGCAAATATTCACATTACAATAACGGACAAGGTGGCCTAGAGGCAGGAAAAAAAATCAGGAGCAGCCTAGGAACTTGTTAGATTAGCACTGCCATCAAGACAAAGGTGTTCAGGTCTGTACCTAGAGAAGTCTGTAGATCTGTAAAAATCAGGCACTTATAAAAAGCATGCAAAAAAAATCTATGAAGCTCAGATCTTTGTGGAGACTGAAGAGAAAATACATCAGGACAAAAATATTTAGGTAGAGTGGAAGAGGGGAAGGAACACAGAAGATAATTCCAGGCACACATGTGTGGGAGGAAGACTTCGAAAAATCAATACAAAATGGTGCCACAAAGAAAAATAGTCTAAAGATTGGATACAAAAGACTGCAGCTAATTTTGTAGGAGAGCTAATATTTCTCAATATTTGTTTTGAAGCAAGAAGCTCAGTGCAAAGCAAGGCTGCTACAACAATGGGATTTCTGGCCATTACACATGCAATTCTTGAGCATTTTGCAGAATTCAACACATGGTGAATTCATTTCTTGGAAGAAACACAGGGATATTATACAGCTACATACTCATCTTTCAGCATTGTCAGGATCAAAAGCAAAATTGCATATTTTCCAAAGTGCAAACATTTCACTTTATAATTGTTCACATATTACTAAAATTTTATAATCTTTAAGTAAACAACCTTTTTTTTTGAGAATTAAAATCTAATATCACTACTTTCCATTCCACTGTTATTAATGTGGAATCCTAACTCTTCAGTTAATTCTAGAGTCAGAAATAGAGACATTTAGGTTTTTTGAAAATTTCATATTCATTGCTCTAACTTAAAATTTTGGGCTAAGTCACTCAAAGAACAGATATAATACACAAAACAGACTTTGGAACAGAGGTGACCTCTTCAATGTTTACAAATATGTAAGGGGTGAGTGTCAGGGGGACGGAGTTAGGCTTTTCTCAGTGATGACCAGTGATAGGACAAGGGGGAATGGGTGTAAATTGGAGCATAGGAGGTTCAAGGTGAATATCCGAAAAAAATTTTTTACTGTAAGAGTGACAGAGCACTGGAACAGACTGCCCAGGGAGGTTGTGGAGTCTCCCTCACTGGAGACATTCAAAACCCACCTGGATGAGTTCCTGTGTGATGTACTCTAGGTGACCCTGCTCTGGCAGGGGGGTTGGACTAGATGATCTCTCGAGGTCCCTTCCAGCCCCTAAGATTCTATGATTCTATGATTCTATGAATGCAAGAATTAATTCATTCTTCTATTTATCCCCTCCCAACCTATAAATTTTTTTCTAACTTAATAAACCAGAAGATATAAATACCTTTCTCAAAAAGTTTGTGTAATGCTTTACAGCCATGTTGCTGGATCTCTTCATTTTTGGGGAATGTGTGCATGGCATTAAATACCAAGGAAAACACATCCACCTCTTCCTCCAAGAGCAGGAAAGCAATTATGTCTGAAGAGCAGAACAGATTACATGTCGCACTCATTAGTTCCCAACATTCTTATTGAAGAATAGTACTTAGCCATTAGAAAAAAAGAAAATTTAATACTGTACTTAAAATGTACTCTGATGACTCAAATCCAAGTATTTGTAAAAGCCATGAGGAAGCAATCTCTTAAGGTAGTATTTTACAACACAACAGAGACATTGTAAAACATTCCTGCCAAAAAGACAGTTTTTCCTCTCCACTCCTGCTCCCACCTTTCACTGTTTTCTTACTTGTCTGACCCCTCAATGAGCCAGTTTAACTCCCTAAACTAGCAGAAAATTCACCCATTAAAAAAAAACCTTTTTGCAGCCATAACAAGCTGAAAGGTTCCACTAAGAACTAAGGTTGGTGGAAGACTACACTGCCTGAGGAAAACAAGTGGATTTAAAATGTACCTGTCAGCTACAGTGAACCATGAAATCAGACCATCTGTACATGAAACCCTGTTCTCTCAGCCACCTGTTAAGCCTGAAACTGAACTGAAAAGTAAATCTCATTGTTGCTCTTCTGACATAAAAAAATTCTGAAAAAAAAAAAATTACTCTATACACAGAAAAAAATTACTCTATACATACTCTATATGTACAGGCAACAAGATGAATATTCTTAAAAATTTTCCAATTTTGCCATTATTGTTGTTGTTATATTATTATTAATCACACAGTGTAATGGCTTATAATAAGACTGTACTACCTAGATTCAGCAAATAAAAAGTTAGGCATCCAGTCTAAGCTACTTCTCTATCCATACAACCAAAACGGAGGGGAAAACAGGTTCAAGAGGTAACTGATCTGTGGTCTTATAAAACAGACAAATAGCATGAACCATTCTTTGAAAGTCTACTGCCTACAGCAGAAGCTTGGACAGCTGGATTATCTTTAACTACCTAAAGCCAAGTCTAATCCTTAGTTTGTAAATAAGGAAAATTCCAACAACTGTTGAATTTGATGGAAACACTCCTATTCTAAAAATAATTTGGGCTAATACTACATGCTATCTCAAATTAAACTAGCAGAATCTCTCCCTTAGGGTCTCTCTTTAATTTCAACATAAGATCAAGAATTTCAGCATGATGAGAAAAGTTCTCAGTACCTGGTAAGATCAGGTCTTTGCAGAGCAGAGTGGCAGAAATGTCAGAGATTATTTACTGTTTTCAAAAGTACTAACCAGTACTGAAGGAAGCAAGTCAGAATGTCACCAAATTTATATTTGGTAAGAAAAAAATAAGCTCTTCTTTTTTTTTTTTTCTTTTTGGGTAAAAAAAGTGCAAAATAATACTCTTACTATTTTGTATACAAGTACAAAGGAGAAGTGAGTTTAAGTGGTAAAACAGAGAAAAAAAACCAGGTCCAACATGTACAGTCATAACTTCATACCATAGTTCTGTGTTTTGAAGTCTTAGACAAAGTAGGAAAGTAAAACACAATACCTGACATGAGGAGAAGATTTAATGCTTTCAGTCCTATTAGTGAGAGATTTATATTTCCTTTGTGGACTGTAAACATTTTAAGAATCTGCCTAAAAAACAGAAAAAAAAAAAAAAAAAGCAAACCCAGTTAAGGCTAAAGAAGTATTAACATACATGAAATTTTATCAAACATTTACTTTAAAAAAATAGTTACATAAGTTAGCAAAAAACTTTAAAAGCTCCTGATTAATTTTTTTAAACTTTTATTTCAGTCTATGGTGTTTTTTTAAATTAGCAATGAAATAATGTTGGTATTTTAACTATTATCATACTTCTTCAATATAATGATATGTAACCTATCAATTTTACTTTAATTTTTAATTGGCTATATCTATTTCAGAGGGCACAAGTCTCATTCAGCATGAGGTTACTCCACAGAAAGCAGGATTGTGGAGTGCAGCAGATTCAGCAGCTGGACAAATCACAAAAAAGCTTAAGAAATTTCACAGACTGTCTATTGTCGACTTCTTGTTTTCTGGGTGGCCCAACCTGGTAGACAGATGGATATTAACCTCCAGAATGATGCATCATAGTCAACCACAGTTGACTTTTTAACTGTGGCTTAGACTTCTTTATTCCTTACACCCTGCATGGATGGATAACCCCTCTGAGTTACCAAATGCTCTGAAGCCATTAAACATCTCTCTCTTGTCTACCAATGACTCCTGATTTCTGCTGTGGGGAAAGGAATTCTGCTTTGGGAAGAGGGCATCACAGGGTGATCACAGGGTGATCTGTTTCAGGTAAGTGCTCATCTATAAAGACATGAATGGGTTCAGAATAACACAGGGTAAAATGATCTCACAGTAAAGCACGTCTGATACAAGGAGAAAATTCCCTGCATCTACTCTCCCATTTAAAGTATAATCAAGAGTGAGGCTATGAAATATTCTAAACCTCATCTACTGTGTGGGAATTGAACATAAGAGATTACAAAATATATAATTAAGTCTTTTTAAGCTTGTAGAATGGATACAAATTGAAGGAATTTCCTTCCTTTTTTCTCACAGTGACAGCAACTATTTATTTATCACACTGTCTGTCAAAGAACACCTAAATCAATTCCAAACTACTATTTGTAAACATGACTGCAACATGCCCAAGCTGGCTCAAGGAAACAAATGCTTTTTCTAGCTTTAGGTTTCTTTGACCCCAAAATAGTTGAACACACAGCAATTAAAATCTCTTGCAAAAAAAATTACCTTTTCCTCTCTATAACTGTTTCCTGGCTTGCTGCAATCAGCACGTGTCAATATGGTGCTGAGCACTACAGTATTAGTCCAATCCACGTGCAGGGATCCTGAGATATAGTTTAACTGGCTTGCTCTGTCTTTGGCACTAACAGACGTATCCAAACCCACTTGCCCACTAAGAACAAGCTTCTCCACAGAAAGGAAAACTGCCAAGATGTCAGACAGGAATATGAATTGGCTAAAATATTGGTAGTGGGAGGGACCTGGGTACAGCAATGTTATCATCAGACCTTTACTGAAGTTTGAGTTTCAAAAGGATGCTTTGTTCAACTGCTCACACTGTGCAGGCTCTGAGCAGGCTATGGGAAAGTGTATTTTTTCTGGGACCCAACAATGAACAGCAATATCTCTAGCTCTCAAAATAAGTCTCAGATAATTAACAAACCTTTAAGTTGCCAAAGAAATCTTAACTAGTTGGTATAGCTTCAGCTCAGTTATTCCTTGCTCATGAAAAGCAACCAGAATAACTTCTGCGTTCTAACAAAAATTGCCAACACTTCCTTCACAGGAGTTTATTCCCCTACTAACCATGTACTCTAGCTGCTATAAAACAAATGAACCCCCACAAAACCAAAATGCTTCCTCATGCAAATTATCTTAAAATAGCAACATTTCTAAGGAAGGATACGGTGAAGACTATAAAGGCAGAGCCAGATTCACTAGGGGAGCTACAAGCTGTAGCTTCTTGCTGTCATTATCAGCCCTGAATGAGGCAATCTATCAAAGTGAGAGAACACCAAACCAAACCCTTCACCCCTGTTTGTATTATATCTGCATCTACAACTACCATCTGTGCTATGGAACAACTATGGAATTAACATATGTGGGTTTTCATCCCACCTAACCACAGCCATCCAGAAACCACTTGCTTAGGCTTCCTCAAAGGTTCAGGGATGGAGATGAGCAAGTCCAAACCACAAACTGCTCCAATGTAACTCAAGAAAAAGATGGAATGAACCATCCTCTGAAGGTAATTGTGTCCACTGACCTCATAGGCAGTTGAGGGGACCAGTTTAAATACTGAATTTTTAGACAACTAAGATTAGGTGTGACAAATACTGCTCCTCTCAATTTGCACTGCTTCAGGCTTACAGATACAATTCATCACATCTGGAAGGAACACACACACAACCACCCAGGTAATACTGCTTCTGTTCATTAAAACACAACACCTTGATAAACAAAGAATTCCAGCATTGTTGTGCCTGGCAGGGATCTCTGGAGGTCTCCTATTTCAACTTCCCTGCTCAAAGCAGGGTCAAACACAGAAGACTGTTCAGGCTGTGTCTAGTCAGGTTCTGAATATTTCTAAGGCTTGAAGCCTTACAACTTCTCTGGGCAACTTGTTCCAGTGTTTGATAAATCTCATAACAGAAATAAAAAAACAAACAAACAAAAATAATAAAAACACACCAAACAACAAAAAAACAACCCACTTGTTTTTGAAATTGAACTTCTTATATCTCAATTTGTGACCATTGCTTCTTATTCTGTCACCAGGTACCACTGAGAAGAGCCTCACTACCCTTTCTCCATCAGATATTTGTATCTATAGATAAGATCTCTGCTTGAATGAGTCTCCCATTCTGAAGGCTGAAGAAACCCACAAAAACCTTTACCCATTTGGAAGCTGATGTATTAACATTATATAAAAATATTTCATTGCATATGTGTGCTGCCATGATAACCAAGCACTCCAGAAAGCTCTTCACATACAAAATACTTACTGGTGAACACCCAGTACTTCCCAGTCCTTCCCAACATCCTTAGGAGCTATGTTCTGTAGAGTACTTGGACAAATTTCTATTAATTTACAGAGAAGTGACCAACCCATCTGTAAAACAAAAATGCAGCTATTTTAGAACATATATTCTGTTTGAAACTTCAATGTTGTCCTCTAATATTCTTGGCTTTTGAAAGATATATGTTCTGAAAAGTTACCTAGCTAAATCAATAAAGGAAAATTAATTAACACAAGGCAAGACAAATGACATAAAAAGTTATAGGCTGGAGGTAAAACAGATATGTTAATGATTCCTAATGCATTGCTTGCAGGAACACATCACTCTCAATGTGTTTCAGCACTGCTTGATGATAAAGGACACACAGTTAGAAGAGATGCTGACAGAGGAAAATATGATGTGATCCATACCATGTTGCTGTAGGCCAGGGAAGAGCACTGCACTATTACAGGTAGTCCAGCTTAATTGAAGAATGGGCATTTCCACAACAACTTGCCATTTAATTTCACATTATGAGGAGAAAGGATAGGTTTTAAAACCTGTCAGATATTTTATATGGGGATGAAATACCTAAACAATGCTAAATATTTCATATTCTTGCCATCAGTGCTCAATACTGTGTGCTTTCAAAACATAATGAAAGCAGTGAAAGTTTTGAGATCATAAGGAACGAAAAGTGAACTAAAATTAATATATTTGATCTCAGTACCTATGTGCTCTATCCTATGAAAATTCTTTGATTTTCAAACATCTCCAAATAGTGCCAAAACTGAGAAAAGTTCCTCTTTGGTCTCCCACATTGGACAAACCTCTCTTATGAATGCCTGCAGGCTGATATGATTTGAATGGGCTTTAGTGAGGATGCAGCAAGCAAAATCTGTACAAAGGATTAACTGCTGAGCAAATAGATCCCACTGCATTGAAAGAGAAGTGAACTGAGAAATGTCAAAAGTTAAGATGAAGTAGATTTTACAAAAAGGAATTGAAACAAGGCATAAGCTTTCTCAGCCATATAAGTGCAAAGAAAAAAATAAAGTGGAAGTAGGTCTGTGAGCTTTAAGAATAAGGTCAAGACAGAAGCCAATCTAAGCCTGGCCCAAAAACTGTATGAGTAACTGGATGAGTTTGCAGCAGAAGGATTATGTAAAGTAAAAGGGTCAAGGCAGGACAGCCAACAAGTGGAATGGAAATGGCTACCTCCAAAAGCGTTTAACTGCAAAGTTCATGGAAAGTGCATGATCTCTAGCCTTGCAGTCTGCAAAACGAGATACAAAACTGCATATGTGGTAGTATAGAGACACCCACAGGAACAGCACAGGCTTGAATTCAGACAGCTTTCAGGACAGCTTTGTGAGCATGAAAAAGGCAATGCAGGACCTTGGGAATGGGGAATTCAGCTTTTATTTTACACATATTGGTGACATGGGCTCTGTTCACACTATCTGCCATAGCTTTGTTTCTGTTTCAGTTTAGATTTGCAGAGCCAAATATTTTTTTTAAGCTAACTACATGCTGAGCTTGACCAGATTCCAACTTCATGCTCTTCTCTTGCTTGGATAGCAAGCTGGCCTGCTCTGCATGAGATGGTAAACCAATTCCTATGGACATTCAGGAAGATCAGGCTGGTCTATGTAACTGAGTCCTGACTAAACACAGGTGCAAAGAATAGTCTTCATGACCATAAGTCCTCTCCAGGATGAGGATATATAATTACCTAATTTTCTATATTCCAAGCAAGAATTTTTCAAGTACTAATTTCAAATCTGCACGGCAAAGACACCACAGAGATAACCGTTAATTCATGCATTGTGTATTGCTTAGAAAGGATATTATTTTAAAAGTCTCACTTCATGCTATCCTAACTGTTCTTGTAAAACTTAGAAAGTTATGAAAATTAGCTTAATGACTTTAGAAAATTCATTTTGGTAGGAAAACTGTTTCTGATGAAATTGTTATTTCCATTAAATATTTTTATTTGGATTGTTGTGACTCCAGGTACTGACAAACATGTAAGAACTTGTGTGCGGATCCAGAGAAAAGCAATGGAAACATGATCTGCTGACATGTCTATTTTACAATATTAAAACCACAACCTGAGATAACAGAGAGCTTATTATCAGTTTAATAATTGCCTAAGAAAGGATCTTTTAAACAACAGAAATCCTAAAGGTTACAGGGAAAGAAAAAAACAAAACACACCAGTAAACAAAGATGTTCTTACAAACAAGTCCCTATAGACAGAAACCATTGCTGTCAGCACTGAAACTCTTGTTATTTTTACACCAGCCCCTTTTCATTTCTAGCATGCAACAAATTTCTATGACATTAGGTCACACCTTCTACATGAGACAATAAAACTCTGCTGACTGCTCTTACTCAAGTGTAAACATATTTTGCTCTAGAGTTTGTAAGCTGTTTTAATGACTGCCAGAGTAAATGCAGAAAGAAATTACCATATTTACTTATAGGCATCTAATTTACTTTAAGCACTATTGACTTTCCAGCCCAGTACCTTCCTACTTCTAAAGAAGCTTGCAGAGTTTATGCCTGTAGTCCCACTTGCACGGTACTTGCAATATTGATCTATTAAGCAAATTTACTTTGTACAAGCCAGTGGAACAGTAGCACAACAGGATGTTTTGTAAGCAGTTAAGGAGGTGAGGGAAAGAAAATCTTCACATATGTCTCTTACTGTTTATTCTCTAATGTAAGCCAATTTTATTACAATACTAAAAGCAAAAGGGGATGATTAATCCATCTATTCAAAGAAAATTCATTAGCAGTGTAAGGAGACTTCACTGAAATCAGGACTACATTACTTCATCATTGCCATGAAGTGAGAATTGTGTATTCACAAAGACGGTAATAGAATCACAGTGAATGAAGCCAGAAGACAGAGCTCTGCTAACCTATTGTGGATGTTTGTAAATATCATAACTGAATGTGAAGAAAGAGCTGCGAGTTCCACACTTTAATACAATGCAGTAGTGCAAAGGATCTCCAAAGCTTATAAACTGGAGCACTATATAACTACAAATGCAGACAGAGAGAAGATGAAAACTCATTTTTAAATTCTATATTAAATCAGAGTGAGGCGCTTTAACACGGTTAAAATTAAAATTAAACTATAACTATCTTCCTTATGCACTTCTGACAGTCTTGTGCTGTCATTTCAGATCTACTGGTTGTGACCAGATTTCATAGTTTTTACTTCCTAGTCTAAACCTCTGGTTGATGGTTTAGTAAATTTTTACATACATAACATCCTTTATCCTGGAAGTAACTGCTGATTCATCCTTCTGTATTTTTTAATGATCTGACAATTCAACAGTAACATAACTTACAACTTCAGACTCTATACAAATATTTAGTTCCTTCAAAGGAAACCCAGGATCCCTGTTATTCCTGATCAATCACTACACAAGTACAGTTTCATTTTTTAATCCAAATTTTACGCTTTTGACCTCTTGCTAAGTCTATTAGCAAAAAAATCCCCTTAACATAAACCATTATTTCAGTGGCATTTGCAATGTAATTTATGTTTTGCCTTCTAGCTGAACTGAAAAAGTAAAAGATGCCAAAAAATGTGTAACCATATAAATGGGCTTAATTAAAAAAAAACAACACTAAAAATCAAGTGTGTTGCATAGAAATCTGGTCCTTATAAACATCCTTTAATTATAACATCGGCAAAAGTTCAGTATCTGCCTGCCAGGACAGAGCTGCTTCGTGTTACAAGCCTGGCAGCTGCACCCCAAGTGCAACATCAGATTGTGCAAGCACCACGCCTCATTTAAAAGGGCCAATGTTACGTTACAGGAGCAGCCAAGCAGAACCTTAAAATTGCAGAACCTCCTCTTAGCTGAAAGATTTTTTCTTTTCTCTCAAAAAAACCCCAAAACCAAAAAACCTGGGCTTGTACAACTTTTTCTAGGATAGGGCTAGATCTGAATGAATGTCAGCAGTTAGTATAACCATGGCAACACTCAATACTGAGACGTCGAAAGCATATTAGATAACATTACTGGCAAATTATGTCATGCAGTATCCACGTTGCTTAATTTTTATTTTCTGCTTCGCCTCCTTTTGCCGTTTGGCACCAGCAAAAAAGCTGGAACATTTGTCCCTTTAAATGCAAGCGGAGAGCGAGCCCGTGTACAGACCAACAGGACCTCGTAAGGCGGCCCAGAAGCAGCGAGTTACAGAGCAGTGAACAGGCGGAGCGGTGACTTTTGGTGCGGGACGGGCTGCGGGGCCCGGCCCATCCCGCGCGGCGCGGCGGGAACGCGGTCCCGGCCCCCGCCCTTACCTGCTGCACGCTCGCCGCGCTCGGGTACAGGTCCAGCACCAGCAGCAAGGGCACCTGGACGTTCTTGCCGCTGAAGAGCCGGGGAGCTGCGGGGGCACAGAGACAGGCCGCGTTAGCGACC